TTCCAAGTTTTTGATGTTTCTGTAATTTGTAATTAAATTCACCTCTATCAATTAACAGCTGCTGACAATAAAATCATACCAGCAACCAGTTAAAATGGTGAAAATTTGACTCAACCTTTCTGTTGTGTGTCTCTGTTCCACAAAGAGCATGGAGAAGAGAAAGCACAGCAAATAATTGTTTGAGGATTTGAGAACCAAAATTGTGGAAAAGCATAGACAATCTCAAGGTTACAAGTTCATCTTGAGATCTTAATGTTCCTGTGTCCACTGTGCGCAACATTGTCAAGAAGTTTACAGCCCATGGCACTGTAGCTAATCTTCCCAGTTGTGGACGAAAGAGAAAAATTGATCAAAGATTGTTATGAAGGGTTGTTCGAATGGTGGCTAAAGAACCTCGATCAACTTCCAGACAAGTTCAAGCTGACCTTCACTCACAGGGTACAACTGTGTCAGCTCGCACTATATGTCGCCGTCTGAAAGAAAAAGAGACTGTGGTAGGAGACCCAGGAAGACCCCAATGCTGACACAGAAACATAAAGTCAGATTGGATTGTGCCAAAACTTACCTGAGGAAGCCAAAATCCTTTTGGGGGAATGTGCTGTGGACAGACGAAACAAAATTACAGCTTTTTGGAAAAAGCCCATCATTCTACTGTTTTCAGAAAAACAAATGAGGCCTTTAATCACTTGCCCTCCAGAGGATTTACTCCCCCCGACCAGGCCATTTTTTGTGTTACGGCGCTGCGTTACTTTAACTGACAATTACGCGGTCATGTAACACTGCACCCAAATGAAATGTACGTCCTTTTTTTTTTTTTTTATCCCCACGAATCATTTCATTCTGGGGTATTTGATCGCCTGTGCGTTTTTTTTTATTTTTTGTGCTATCTAGAGCCATACAAAGCAGTGTGCAGGAGCTGACAGGGTAAAGAACTATATTGTTTACATACAGTTGTCTTCCCCCTGTTGGTAATGCTCGGCGATCAGCGGGTGCCGGCGAGTAATTGCCGGTGGGGACCCGTGAATAGCGGCGCAGGTAGGGCGCACACGTGGCTCGTGCGTGCCCCCTACCTGGAAATGCAAAATCACGTATACATACAGTAAGGTCCATATATATATTTGGACACAAGCACAATTTTCATACTTGTAGCTCTGTATGCCACCAGAAAAAATTTAAAATGAAACAATACAAATGAATTTGAAGTGCAGACTTTCAGCTTTAATTTAAAGGGTTGAACATAAATACAAGTACAAATTTTAGGAACTTCAACCATGTTTATACACAGTCCCTCCATTTTCAGGGGCTCAAATGTAATTGGACAAATAAATATAATCATAAATAAAATGTTCATTTTTAATATTTTGTTGAGAATCCTTTACTGGCAATGACTGCCTGAAGTCTGGAACCCATGGACATTACCAAAGTCTGGGTTTCCTCCTTTCTGATGCTTTGCCAGGCTCTAACTGCAGCTGTCTTTCGTTGTTCTTTGTTTGTGGGTTTTTCTGCCTTTTAGTTTTGCCTTCAGCAAGTGAAATGCATGCTCAATTGGGTTAAGATCAGGTGATTGCAGAATATTCCACTTCTTTTCCTTCAAATGCTCCTGGGTTGCTTTTGCAGTGTTTTGGATCATTGTCCATCTGTACTGTGAAGTGCCGTCCAATCAACTTTGCTGCATTTGCCTGAATCTGGGCTGACCGTATATCTCTAAATACCACAGAATTCATCCAGCTGCATCTGTCTTCTGTCACGTCATCAATAACCACCAATGACCCAGTGTCACTGGAAGCCATGCATGCCCATGGCATCACACTGCTCCCCATGTTTTACAGATGATGTTGTGTGCTTTGGATCATGAGCTGTTCCAAGCCTTCTCTACACTTTTTTTTCTTCCTGTCATTCTGGTACAGATTAATCTTAGTTTCATCCATCCAAAGAATGCTTTTCCAGAACTGGTCTGGCTTTTTTAGATGGTTTTTTTTTGGCAAAGTCTAATCTGGCTTTTCTATTCTTCAGGCTTATGAATGGTTTGCACCTTGTGCTGAACCATCTGTATTTGCTCTCATGAAGTCTTCTCTTGATTGTAGATATGACAATGATACGCCCACCTCCTGGAGAGTGTCCTTCCTTTGTCTGGATGTTGTGAATGGGTTTTTCTTTACCATTCAGAGGATCCTGCGATCATCCACCATTGTTGTCTTCTTTGGATGTCCATGACTTTTTTATGTTGCTGAGCTCACCAGTGTGTTCTTCTTTTTTTCAGAATGTACCAAACTGTTGATTTTTCCACTCCTAATGTTGCTGCTATCTCTCTGATGGATTTGTTTCATTTTTGAAGTCTTACAATGGCCTGTTTCACTTGCATGGACAGCTCCTTTGAATGCATGATGTAGGTTCACAGCAATAGATTCCAAATACCACACTTAGAACCAACTTCAGACCTTTTACCTGCTTAATTGATGAAGAAATAACGAAGGAGTAGCCCACACTTGGCCATGAAACAGATTTTGTTTCAATTGTCCTGGTCCCTTGAAAAAGGGGGGATGGCTACTCTTAAGAGCTGTAATTCCTAAACCCTTCATCCAATTTGGATGTACATACCCTCAAATTAAACCTGAGAGTGTGCACTTTCAGCCCATATCCATTATTTAACTATAGCTTGAATATGTTTTGGTAAATATCTGAAAAACACTAAAATTGTGCCTGTGTCCAAATATATATGGACCTAACTGTATGTGATTTTGTGCACCCCTGACGCTCTGTGGCAGTATATCTGCTATAGGGCGGCGGAAAAGTGGTTAAAGAAAAGAATACAGTCCAATGTGATGGAGGTTCACTGATTTTTTTTGGGGTTGCTTTGCTGCTTCAGGCACTGGATGTCTTGACCGTGTGCATGGCATGATGAAATCTGAAGACTACCAAAGAATTCTGAGGTGCAATGTAGAGCCCAGTGTCAGAAAGTTGGGTCTCCATCAGAGGTCATGGGTTTTACAGCAGGACACCTATCCAAAGCACAATTCAAAAAGCCCCCAGAAACAGTTTAAGACAAAGCTCTGGAGAATACTGAACTGGCTAGCAATGTGTTCAGATCTCAATCCCATTGAGCATCTGTGGAGAGATCTTAAAACAACAGTTGGGAAAAGGAACCCTTCCAATCTAGGAGATCTAGAGCTGTTGGTGAAAGAAGAGTGGTCCAAAATTCCAGTAGAGAGGTGTAAGAAACTACTTCCCTATCTGTGCTTATTCTCCCAGAGATGTCGGGGTTCTTGGGCATTCTACAGCATCTAAGATTTTTGTTCTAACCAAGTTGCAGGTCCACCCCAGGTTCTTCAAGAAAACATTTTTTTGCTAGATGTCTGTTTTGATGTGTATTTCAGCTGAAAGGTGCATTTCTGTCTGTGTCTATTGACTTTTTTTGTTTTTCATGTGGGCCTGTTGCTGCTGCTTTGGCTATTTTTGTTTCCCACCCCTGGGATTGCTGCTTAGGGATGTCCTCTGGTCTCAGTATCAATTCTTCTATACTGTACAATTAAGGTAATAGGAATTTTAATGTACCTGTAGATTCCAAACCTTGGAGTACAGTACAGGACACAGGCTCCTCACCTCCTTTCTCAGTGATCTCCTTATTGCTTGCTAAAAAAAAAACAGCCTAATGGAATTGACTGGGCAATATGGAAACACTCAGGGACGACCCCAGGAAAGCCTTCGCCAATGTCCAATCATCTGAAGGTTGTGGCATATAACTTATAGTCTTAGAATCAATTCCTTTGTCCTGTAATATACTCCAAGATATGGAATTTAGAGGTGTGTCAACATTCCTATTTTTTTTTTATGGGTACCTTCAAGACTGAACTCAACCGAAGACCTTTTTGACAGAAGAGAAGGCACTGCTCTCTGATCATGCAGTGAAACCCAAGAAAGTTGCATACGCTTCCCGCAAACCATCCTTCAGGGAAAATTAATCAGGAAGATCAGCTCAGAACAGTGCAAAGTTCTTTCTGGAACCCCTATGGCCAAGGAGAGAATGGTTCCCTACTTAAGCAACTGTGAGAAGAGCCACCAGTAACCCGTCCCTGCAGAAACAACTGTAATAAGGTGCCTTCAGAACTGGATTTCCTAAAGAAAAGAGCAGAGAAATTACTGGTTATCAGCACCCCCAAAGTGCAAGTAACTGCACTATCCTTATTTCTGGACATGAACCTTTTTAATCACTAGTCAAAAGCTTTTCAGAGCATTACTGGAACTGAAACCACCTCAGTGCCTGACTGTACCTCATTTGGACCTTCTAACTGTCTTGGAATGAATTACAAAGCCACCCTTTGAACCTATTCAGAATCCTCTCTCAAGCATCTGACTATGAGCCTAGCCTACCTATTTATTATTATAATAATAATAATAATAATAATAATAATAAATAATAATAATAACATTTATACTACAGGATGTAGTGGCCATCACCTCAGACAGCAATCAGTGAAATCTGCAAACTTCATGTGCTCTCAGTAAAGGACGTATTGTTTACACTGTCACAAGACAAGGTGATGCTTAGAAAAGACCTTGCTTTCCTTCCTAAAGTAATAACAAATTTCCACAGCCACATTTGGGGGGTGCCATGAACAAATAATGTCACCATAAGTATGACATGCTTTTTGTAGTGCATTTTCTGTGTGTTTCCGAAAACTAAGATAAAACACGCTTTTCCTGTGCATTTGTCGTGTGTTCAGGAAATGCAAGGTGTGATTAGGGCCTTAGTCTTGTGCTTCCTGAAGGTGGACAAAATCCTCTTTCTGGTGAATTGGCCTGGAGAATTCTTGGAAAAGGAGTTAAACATTTTTAGTAAAGCCTTTTTTTCTGGGTACAATTAATGTTTATCCATCTTTCCTTCTTACCTGCCTATCATAGTTGGAACTATGGAGGAATATGTATGGGTTGTCATTATTCTGATGTACTATTTTCTTTTTCTACATTATATAGCTAACCACCTTATCTGGCTTTACTTACAGGTTCTGTGTATCTTGTGGGACATGGAAAGTGAGGACGTGGAGGACATACTACAAGAGTTTGTCAACAAATCATTACTACTATACTGTGATCGTAATGGAAGATCGTTCCTGTATTACCTGCATGACTTGCAACTGGATTTTCTCACAGAGAGGAACCGGGATCAGTTACCTGTATGAGCACATTGGCTGCAGTAATCTCATTATCAATATTACTGTATATAGCATTGAAAATATACTATTTCTCTCTGCTTAAAGTAATCAATATCATATAAAGCTGACCTCTAGTTGTTTAGCAGATGCACTTTATCTACAAAACTTTGTAGACGCCTGACAGTCACAACTAATATGAGCTTGTTGGCCATCCTGTTCTAAAAGCACACTTTTGAGAAGGATTTGCATAAATACTTGTACAGTATGTCTTTGTGGGTTTGTGCCTATTCAGATAAAGGAGCATTTGTGGTCAGGTACAGGCCAGCAACCTGCATTTCAATACATTATTGCATCTCATAAGTGCTCAATAGGTTTGGGATAGTAGTGCAGGCTACCCAAATTCTTCCACACCAAACTGGTCAAACCTTGCCTTTTATAGACCTGGCTTTATGCACATGAACACAGTCATGCAAAAGGGCCTTTCCCAAACTGTTGACACAAGTTTGCAAGCACACAATTGTCTGAAATGTCTTTTGTATGCTGTAGCATTATCATTACCCTTCATTGGAGACACCTGAATTCAGTCATTTGGAAGTGTATCCACATACTTTTGGTTATATAGTGCAACTATTTTCAACCTGGGTGCACAAAGCACCCTGTGGTGCCTTCAAGTGTGCCTTGACCAAATGCCTAAAAATTGCCCAAAAATTGTATGCATGCCAGCAGGTGGATCAAGCCTGATTTTTAGTTACACAAAAGCAAAGATTTTCATTGTGCACCATTACAACTTTGTAGCCGCTGGCGACATAACAGTCAATTATGTCATCAGTTGATAAGTACATTGGGCACCTGCACAGCATCCTTGCTTTCACCTTCCCTGCCCCTCTCTGTAATTACTGGGGTCACACTAGTTGAGTGAGAGAGAGAGAGAGAGAGAGAAACCATGAGTGAGAGTAGAGAAAAATAAAAAATACTAGTCAGTACCAGTATGCAAAAGAGTATTTGCTTTGGAAGAATAAATCGCCTCTAACGTTGGGTGTCCTACATCCTACATGTGCAGATTTTGCTGCATTCTGTATTTGTTTAGTTTTTTTTTTACATTTTGTAATGGGTGTCTCAAGATTGTGTGCAGAATTTTAAAGGGTGCCTTGAGATTGTACAGAATTTTAAAGGATGCCTTGACTGTAAAAAGGTTGAGAAACACTGATATAGTTTATAACAGGAGATCACCTAACTGGCACTATTGCTGAATGTGATTTATTTATTTATTTATTTATTTTCAAATGTGAACACTCAATACTTTTTTTTAGCGGTTAAGAATGGACTCCTGGGATTTGTGCATCAGCATACTGTGCTTTGAGAAATGCAGCAGTGGAGCAGTCTTCAGACTACAGCTGCTACATTACCACTTTTGGCTTGTTCACACAAAAACATGCAGCAGTAAAAATGCTTGGAAAATTGATGTGCATTGCCACACTTTTTTATGGGTGCCAAATTGCTATGCATTTTGCAGGTTATTTCCTCTACAACCTTTTCCTGTCTGTGGGTTGAGAGAAGGAGTGAAGGAGAAAAATAGTGAGAAACTTAGACAAATATGCTTTTGGTTTGGAGGGACATTGGCAAGCGGGATGTCTAGTGTAAGAGCCCTAATCATTGTGATTGTGCTAGCTATTTTGTGGAGGAGGAGGAGGAAACTGAGGTAAACCGAACAGTGCAATAGATTGCATCCATTGCTCACACAATGTGAGAGTAAAGGGCAGTTTTGGACCTCATGACCTGCATTTTTCCAGTGTAGTAAACCACAGGTCTCTGCAGTATGTGTGGTCAGAGCCTTACTGACCACTTGACTGCTTTAAGATACCCAACTTCTTAATTGCATTGTGCCAGTGTCATTTTGGTGGAGATTGCATAAAGACAATGTTGTTGAATACAGTTTGGTTTGGTAAAAAAAAAAAAAACGCATGTGGTTTTTGTTATTCATGTTGATTCAATCGCCATCAGTTAGCTGGGTGGGTTAGAGTTTTTGTTAGCCATCCTGTAGCCCTGATACAAAGGGAGCATATGTATGGCTGGACCTAATGTGTGCAGGAGTAATAAACCTATATTGCTTGGCTAGAGAATATGCAACATTTTGACTGTTACATTCAAAGGTAATACAATTTCTTTGCACCTAGGTTACTTTTACAATATTCATTACATATACATTGGGCAAATATCAATGCATATAAAATATTTAGGTTGTGCTTGGAGTTTAGCTTTAAAAATGGTTAGCCCTTCCACCTGGCAGTACAAGGGTCGTTGGTTCAAATCCCAACCACGGCTCTACTTGCCTGGAGTTTGCATGTTCTCCCTGTGCCTGCGTGGGTTTTCTCCAGGTACTCCAGTCTCCACCTGCACTACAAAGACATGCTGGTAGGTTAATTGGCTCCTGTCTAAATTGGCCCACACACACACACCCCCACCCACCCCCCCCCCACACCCCCACCCACACCCCCCCCCCCCCACACACCCCCCCACACCCCCCCCCCCCCCCCCCCCCCACACCCCCCCCCCCCCCCCAAAAGTTAATTTATTACTCAGTACTTGGTTTGGGCCCCTTTTGCAGCAATTACTGCCTCAATATGGCATGGAAGCTATCAGCCTGTGGCACTGCTGAGGTGTTATGGAAGACCAGGATGCTTCAATAGTGGCCTTCAGCTCTTCTGCATTGTTCGGTCTCATGTCTCTCATCTTTCTCTTGGCAATGCCCCATAGATTCTCTATGGGGTTCTGGTCAGGCGAGTTTGCTGGCCAATCAAGCACAGTAATCCCACGGTCATTGAACCAGGTTTTGGTGCTTTTGGCAGTGTGGGCAGGTGCCAAGTCCTGCTGGAAAATGAAGTCAGCATCCCCATAAAGCTTGTCTGGAAGGAAGCATGAAGTGCTCCAAAATGCTAGACGGCTGCGTTGACCCTGGACTTAATGAAGCACAGTGGACCAACACCAGCAGATGACATGGCTCCCCAAATCAACACAGACTGTGGAAACTTCACACTGGACTTCAAGCATCTTGCAGTGTGTGCCTCTCCATTCTTCCTCCATACTCTGGGTCCTTGGTTTCCGAATGAGATGCAAAAGTTGTTCTCATCAGAAAAGAGGACTTTGAACCACTGAGCAACAAACCAGGTCTTTTTCTTTAGCCCAGGTAAGACGCTTCTGACGTTGTTTGTTGTTCAGGAGGAATACGACATTTGAAGCCCATGTCCTGGATCCGTCTGTGTGTGGTGGCTCTTGATGCACAGACTCCAGCTTCAGTCCACTCCTTGTGAAAGTCCCCAACACTTTTGAATGGCCTTTTTCTGGCAATCCTCTCCAGGCTGCGGTTATCCCTGCTGCTTGTGCACCTTTTTCTTCCACACTTTTCCCTTCCACATAACTTTCTATTAATGTGCTTTGATACAGCACTTTGGGAACATCCAACTTCTTTTGCAATTACCTTTTAAAGCTTTCCCTCCTTATGGAGGGTGTCAGTGATGGTTTTCTGCACAACTGTCAGGTCAGCAGTCTTTCCCATGATTGTGATTTTTACTGAACCAGACTGAGAGACCACTTAAAGGCTCAGGAACCCTTTGCAGGTGTTATGGCTTAATTAGCTGATTAGAGTGGGACACTTTGAGCCTAGAATATTGCACCTTTTCACAATATTCTAATTTTCTGAGATTGTGGATTTGGGGTGTTCATGAGCTGTCAGCTATAATCATCACAATTATGACAAATCACGGCTTGAACTATCTTACTTTGCATATAATGAGTCTATCTCATATATTAGTTTCACCTTTTAAGTTGCATTACTGAAATAAATTAACTTTTGCACGATATTCTAATTTTTTCGAGTTTCACCTGCATATAGTGAAGGAAATAAGTATTTGATCCCCTGCTGATTTTAAATGTTTGCCCACTCACAAAGAAATGATCAGTGTAAAAATTGAATGGTAGGTGTATTGTAACACTTAGAGACAGAATAGCAACAAAAAATTCAAAAGAAATGCATGTCTAACAAATGATGCACTGATTTGCATGTTCATGAGGGAAAGAAGTATTTGATCCCCTTTCATTCAGCAGGATTTCTGGCTACCATGTGTCAGTCATACAGGTAACAACCTGAGATTAGAAGCAGTCTCTTAAAGGGAGTGCTGTTAATTTTATTTTGTTATTTGTTTGAAAGACACCTGTCCACAGGAGCAATAAAACAATCAGATTCCAAACTCTCCACCATGGCAGAGACCAAAGAGCTATCCAAGGATGTCAGGGACAAGATTGTAGACCTACACAAGGCTGGACTGGGCTACCAAACTATCACCAAGCGGCTTGGTGAGAAGGTGACAACAGTTAGTGCAATCATTCGCAAATGGAAGAAACACAAAACAACTGTCAGTTTCCCTAGGTCTGGTGCACCATGCAAGATCTCACCTCGTAGAGTGTCAATGATCATGAGAACAGTGAGGAATCATCCCAGAACTACACGTGAGGATCTTCTCAATGATTTTCAGGCAGCGGAGACCACAGTCACCAAGAAAACAATTGGTAACACACTACTCCGACAAGGATTGAAATCCTGCAGTGCCCGCAATGTCCCTCTGCTCAAGAAAGCACATGTCCAGACGCATCTGAAGTTTGCCACTGGACATCTGAATGATGCAGAAGAGGATTGGTTGAAAGTGTTGTGGTCAGATGAGACCAAAATCGAGCTCTTTAGCATCAACTCAACTCACCGTGTTTGTAGGAGGGGGAATGCCGCCTATGACCACAAGAACACCATCCCAACTGTCAAACGTGGTGGTGGAAACATTCTGCTTTGGGGGGGGGAGGGGGTTCTGCTAAGGGAACAGGACAACTGCAACACATCAAAGGGACGATAGACGGGGCAATGTAACGTCAAATCTTGGGTGAGAACCTTCTTCCCTCAGCCAGGGTATTGAAAATGGGTCATAGATGGTGTTCCAGCATGACAATGACCCAAAACACAGGGCCAAAGCAACAAAGGAGTTGCTCAAGAAGAAGCACATTAAGGTCCTGGAGTGGCCTAGCCAGTCTCTAGACCTTAATCCGATTGAAAATCTGTGGAAGGCGCTGAAAGTTTGAGTTGCCAAACGTCAGCCACCAAACCTTAATGACTTGGAGAGGATCTGCCATGAGGAGTGGGCCAAAATCCCTCCTGAGATGTGTGCAAACCCGGTGGCTAACTACAGGAAACTTCTGACATCTGTGATTGCCAACAAGGGATTTGCCACCAAGTACTAAGTCATGTTTTGTGAAGGGGATCAAATACTTATTTCCCTCATGAACATGTAAATCAGTGCATAATTTGTTACACATGCATTTCTTTTGAATTTTTTTCTTGCTATTCTGTCTGTGTTACAATACACCTACCATGTGTATGTGTGTGTGCATGTATGTAAAGCGCTGCGTAAATTGACGGCGCTATATACCTCATATGAATAAAATAAATATATTATTGTTTGTTTGATTTTTTTTTTTTTTTTTTCCTATTTCAGGCTCTCCATGCCAAGCTTGTCAGTCAGCATCAAAAATACTATTCTTGTGAGCTTCCAACTATGGAACAAGAAGATTGTGCATACTGGTACCATTACCTAGCATACCACATGGCCCAGGCCAATATGCATCAAGTAGGTAAATTTACAAATACATTTTAGCAGGTATACCAGAAGTCTTATTAATGGCATTAAACAATATGTGAACCCATTACAGTATATCTCTAATGTTGAATATGTAGTTATACATAATTTTGGGTATTCTAGGGCTCAGTGGCCCTGATGCTAAAGAAGTCCTCTAAATTGTGTTATTTGTAGACCTCCACCCACAGTATATATTTATATAAGAAATCACAATACATACTAGGGTTGTTGTGTGTTTTACACTGTAATACCTACTTTTTTTTTTTTTTTTTTTTGTAAATACTGCATTACACAAAAGTTGTCTTCTACCCAATTTCAATGTAAGGCTGAGTTCACACTGATGTGGTACGGAATTTGCAGCATTTTCTGTGCGAATTCCACACCGCATCAAATTCGCACCCCGTTCATGCGAACCGATGTGGGTGTGTTAACAGCACCCTGAAATCGGTCCGCAAAACGCGCTGTGATGTGCAGAATCTGATCGCATAGGTGTGAATACCCATGAGATCTGATTCTAGTGTGCGGACCCAAAAAAGGCCCTTTTTGGTGCGGGTGCGGTGCGATTGGAGCCATACAAAATGTATGGCTCCAATCGCACCGCACAGAAATGGCATGGGATTTGCACAGGAATGCGGTGCGGTTCCTCTGCGAATCACATGTTTTGTACCGCACCGCATTAGTGTGAACCTAGCCTAAAGCTCGGTTACTAATCTTACTGGGATGTATAAAAAGTTATTTCCAGGAGCAAACACTGCTCTGCCTCAGTACTGAATTGTGTGTGATAACCTAGATACTTGGTTATATGATCTCTGCTGAAAGGGAGGATCACAGTTTAGATTTGCAGACCTTCATTTTATCAGGGTGCATGTGACCAGTTGCCTAAATTTTCACACATGCAGTCAGCAGTGAAGCAAGCCCGAGACAGCATTTTTCCTGAAAAGGGTATTTAAGCCTTTTTTTTTTTTTTTTTTTTTTAAAGAATTATGACTTTTTTGTATTCAGTTCCTGATAGGACAAAGTATATGCAGTACTTTGTTACTTCTTTCTATATGCCCTTTAACACTAGCTACAATGTCAGACACGGCACCTCCTCTCTGGGTGTATGGCTACCTGACATCGCAGCAAGCAAGGGAATGGGTGTTTTGCTAGCCAGCACCTCCATCTGGCTCTCAGCACTTTCCCAAAGCAAGCACTGTCACAAGGAATGCAGAGGGGAGTAGAGGCTGACTTACCTCCCATTCCTTCTCATTCCTCTTGCCGGTGCTTGCCTCGGCCAAATACTGAGGTCGGGGACAGGCCCATGCTAAAAAAGCAGCTTTCTCTTTGCTAGCTACTGTGTCCAGTGGCTGTGCACTGTGGGTGATGTGTCCTAACCAACATCGCAGCTAGTGTTAAAGGGCACCTATTTAAATGACACAAAGTACTTCATGCACTTTTTCCCATTGGGAATTGAAAGTGATACATCTTTAATCTTTATCCATCCTACCTAGCTACACTGTAACATAACTTCAGGTTTACATTTGAGTACATGTTTGTTTTAACACTTTTATTGTTTGTTTTGTTGTATAATGTTAAAGTGTAAATAGATTGTTTATTTCAGAATATTTTCCAATTTTTCCAGGACCTCCGTTCTCTTCTTTTCTCTCTGGATTGGTTAAAATCTAAGATGAGATTATATGGGCCAGCACATCTCATTCATGAGTTTGTACGTTACCGGGACATCCTTGATAAGCAGGTAAAGCATTTCCAGCAAAGCCAATGATCGCAGAAGAGATTTAGCAATTGCAGCAAATTGAAGAAAGTGTAGAATATTTAACTGCATATGAAACAGCTACAAAAGTATGTTTATTGAGTGAATTGAGTACAGGTAGGTGCCACTGTTGTTGCATAAGGGGCATTAAGGGGATTCTGCTAATAAACTTATAACATAATAGCTGCTCCTTTTTTTTTTTTTTTCCACCAATTACAACAAGCATTTTTTTTGACCTAGTGTTCCTAAAATATAATTATGTTGAGACGCTGTTGTGAGCTAAATGGCAGCTTAAAGTTGGCACCATTTTCCCAGCTGTCTGTTGCAATGTCATGTGCCACATCCTCAGTGGCTGCACTGTACATGTGCATGCCATTTTCTCCCTCTTGCTGCGTATCTCTTGGTCAGCACCTAATTCCCAGGCTCACACAGTACAGCGATCTCTGAACGTCTCCTGGGTTCAACCTTTTGCCTGGCAAGGTGGTTTAGGGGATGGGAAGTAGACTCTCTCCACAGGAATCTAGTACCCTCTGTTCAGAAAGTTGCCTCCAGTCTGACTCCCTACCCTTCCTCTGGGCACTCCTCTTGCCCTTCGGCTGCACAGTCTTCCTCCTATCTATCTAAGGATGAGATTTCTGCCATCATGTCCTTTTTGGAGACCATAAATAGCTGGGGTCATAACTCTTTAGTCTCCCTTCCTGAGTCAGTCTCTGACTTTTGCTGCTGATACACTGCCTGCAGATGAGGTAGGCAGGAGGTTCCCCCCTCTTCTGAGAAATTGGATAAGGATGCTACACCTTCATCAGAGATTCCATCCAAGCATAAAGTGATTCTAAAGGTTCCTTTTTTTTTTTTCTTTTTTTTTTTTAAATAACAAGCATGTCACAGAGCTGCGGCTTGACCCCAGCCCGCCCCTCAGATTGTCCTGGCTGTCTGTCCCAAGGGTCGATTTGCAACACTGCTTCTTGGTCACTGGTTCTAACTGCATGACCTGGTCATCCCTCCCTCCTTGAGGGCTTGGAAGTTGACCTCTTGCAAAGTCTATTATCGCACCTGGAATACCTATTATACATAGTGCAACAACAGAAAAAATCATCTTAGAAAATACTGTCAGGCCCATCCTGTCCTTCCTCAGTCTGGTCTCCCCTTGTTACACTGTAGAAACTTAACCTGGTTCTTTCGGCCCCTCCTTAGAGGCTGCCCTTTTTTTAATCCATTAGCAATATTTTCGTATCTAACCTCACTTTCAAGGTAGCCTTTCTATTTGCCTCCACCTCTGAACATAAGGTCTTTTGAGTTAGTGGCCTTATCCTGTAAAGAGCCTTTCCCAGTATTTGTCCTGTGGTCAAAAGCCTCTCTTTTCCCTAAGGTGATTTCCTCCTTCCACCTCATCTAGGACATTGTCCTTCCCTCCTTTTTGTCTGCTCCAAAACATTCCAAGGAAAGTTCTCTCCACTGTCTTGACATGGTACATGCTGTTAAAGTCTACCTCTCTGCTACAGCATCTTTGAGACAGTCGGATCCCATCTCTGTGCTTTCCGAGAGTTCTCACAGAGGGCTTCCTTCTTCTTGCTCCATCATTGCTAGGTGAATTAGACAAGTCATCATTTGAGGCTCTGATCTAAAGGATTGGATCCCTCCCCTTTCACTGTACCATATCTGTTAATGCTTTATGGGCTTTTCAGCATCAGGCATCTGTTTCTCAGATTTGAAATACTGCACCTGGTCTTCAGTTCACACGTTTAAGTTTACCAGGTGGATGTTCAGGAGTCTGATGCCAGTTTTGGGCGTAAGGTGCTACAAGCTGCTCTCTGAATTCTGTCGAGCCCTTTTTGACGCATTTGTTACATGGGCCTGTTTGGTGTTTGTTTGCTCTGTTGCCACCCCACAGTTGGACTGCTTTTAGACATCTCCTCTTGGTCAAGACTAAAGATCCTGTGTGCTGTACTGTATAACTAAGAGAATAGGATTTTTGACATGCCGATTAAAATCTGTTTCTTGAATAACAGTACAGGACACGGGTCCGTACTCTGTACTTCATGATTTCCCTATTGCTTGCTGCAAAACTGAGGCTAGCTAGAAATGGGAGGAGTAATACAGTGGAAGGAAAAAGTATGTGATGCGAAGGCAGTGCAGTATATGTCCATAGTTATAAAATTTATTTTTTAAATGTAGTGCCTAGAAATGGCAAGACAAAAATATGTTTGATTTTGAAGTTATGGTTTGAATTTTACAGGACAGCAAAACACGGGAAGATTTCCAGGAGTTTCTGTCTGTGAATGGCCATCTCCTAGGACAGGATTCTCATATAAACCTCATACAGTTGGGTCTTTCTCAGCCTGATGACTCCATGGTATACAAGCAATCTATTCTCCAAGCCAAGGAAGAGCTCCAGCACGGAGCACTGTATGTGAACTGGATGTAAGTATCGAGAACACAAGATGACCTAAAACATGGTTACAGAATTCCCATTTACACGGACACGTATTGGTACATATAGATCACAGTAGGCTGTAACCACTTGCCTATTTTGCACTTCCACCACCTTCATGCCCAGGCCAATTTTCAGCTTTCAGTGCTGTCACACTTTGAACAACTATTGCACAGTCATGCAACACTGTACCCATATGACATTTTTATCATTTTTATGAGACATATAAAGCTTTCTTTTGGTGGTAATTAATCACCACTGGGTTTTTATTTTTTATTAAACTAAAAAAACCAAACATTTGGAAAAAATTTCTTAGTTTCTGTTATAATATTCTTTAAATAAGTATTTTTTCCCCTTCACTGATGTGCACTAATACGCATCACTGATGAGGAAGCATTGATGGGCAATGACAGGCATCAGTGATATGTGGCACTGATGGGTACTGATATGTGGCACTGATAGGCAGCACTGATTGGCACTGATGAGTACTAATAGACAGCACTGACGGCATTGACAGGCATCACTGATTAGCACTGATAGGTGTCACTGATTGGCACTGATAGTCATCATTGATGGACACTGAGAGACATCACTTATGGGCACTGAAAGGCAGCACTTAGGGGCACTGATGATCAGTGCCCTGATTATCAGTGTAGATGTCTCCTCTAAAGATTGCCTCTAATTGTTTCTCCTCTCCTACTTACGCGCTGTCAGCGTGAGGAGGGGACTACCGATAACCGGCATTTCCTGTTTACATGTGATCAGTTGTGATTGGACACATCTAATCACATGGTAAAGAGCCTATATCATTGGCTCTTTACCGCGATCAGTGATCCCTTGTGTCCTAGGGACTTAGTGCACCACCGATCACAGCACCGCATGCCTAGAGTGGGAGTAAGTCATATGACGTCCTCCCAGGACAAGAGAGCTCCTGCCCATCTGTCATTTCCCAATACGGTGGGTGGGAGGTGATTAGAAAACTGCAACTTAGTTCGACTGGCATATCCTACCTATACGTGGGGTAAGCAGTAAAAGCTGCATTTTACAACACAATGTAACAATGCCACATTCCTTTTCAAAAGAGATGAATGAGAAAATGTCTGTGGAGAAGCGTTCCAAATAAAGTGTAAATGCTTGTTTGACATATAGTAGATACTTGTAAAATCTACAGAAAATGGGTACTAAGAGACTGAAATGTACTCTACATCAGGGCTTAAAATTTCAAGTCTAGACCTACTAGCCAGGCACAAACCTTACTCTCCGCCAGTTGCCCCACCCAACCTTGCCCAGGTCTGCCTCCAACCCCTCCCCCAACCCTGCCCCAAGCCCTGCTCCCAATCACGCCCCCTCAAAGCTTATGAAATTACATTTTTCTTTAGAATAAAGAGTCCAAAATAAAAAAATGCAATTATAACATAGCTTTATTATGTCAATTTAAAAACAAAAAAAAGACTGACAATTTTTGAAAAAAAAAACTATTTTTGACTTTTTGCTATTAAAAATGTCCAGTAAAAAAAAATTTAAAAAATCAAATAAATTTACACCAAATTGTATTCTGCTACATGTCCCAATATGTGTAAATTAGTTGCTTTACATGTAAGTTATAGCGTTTGCAAATGGCGGTAGAGATACTGGAATTTTTTTCTTTCAATTTTATTTTTGCTAGTAATGGCGACAATCAGCGACCTATAGCTGGACTGCGGCGGGCATTCTGACACTGGGGGGAAACTGACTTGGTGCCACTGACATCCACAGTGACACCAATACAGTGATCAGTGCTAATAAAAAGCACTGACACTGTACTAATGGCACTGGGCAGGAAGGGGTTAACATCTGGGGCGATCAAAGGGTTAACTGTGTGCTGTGTGTGTGTGCTTTTAGCAGCCGGTGCTCCCCATCTCCAACACAAGGATGGCCACCTTCAACCTACAGGATCCTGTGCACACCCTGCGACGCCCACCGATGCCCTTTTGCCTGGCGTGGCCTTCCTGTGCTTGATTAATCACCTCCCGCTCCGAGCTGCGGCTCAGTCACCGGCCTCAGGACTTATGAATGAAGCTCGGAGAGGAGGCCCCGCCCCACCCAGCACACGTGACTCTCGCCAGACTGTGGGCAGGGGAGGTGGTGGTGGTGGGAGATAGTGGGAGAAGGGGAGCTGTGCACCTGAAGGCACACAACGAGCTCTCCTCAGGGTGGGTGTCAGCACACACTCGCCCCCACATTATTTCCACTCGCCAAATGCGAACAGGCGAGTGGAAATTTCAAGGCCTGCTCTACATTGTCAAGTCATCTGTGGTCTTGAATGCTAAATTCACCAAACAAACCCTTTTGATTTTCAGAAACAAACAATGTATGAAGAATTTGGCCAGCCTGGCAGTACGTCCTCACTCAGAGGCAGTGTATCATGCGTGCTTTTCCCATGACAGACAGAAAATTGCATCTTGTGGAGCTGATAAAACTTTGCAGGTAACTGGCCATGATGATCAATGGGTGTCATTTCTTATAATCAAATACACAACAGGTGTCTTATTTTGAGAAATGTAGTGCTTTTTTAAAAATTAAAAAGGTCTGATAAGGCGGATCTCCCCCTTTAACCTATGTCTCATATAGCCCAGACCTCTTCCCCCTCTATCTCTCACAGTTTGATATATTTTTTTTATTATGCATGAGATTTTTTTATCCTGAAAAGCAACAGTTCCATGCATTTTTCACGTAGACAAGAATAACATTTTTGTCACCCTGCTCCTCCCCACCATTCTGCACATGCGCAGAATATCTACACATGCATGCCTTTCCCTGTGCATTCGCAAAAATGGCTGTTATGAATTGCTTGAAACTTTGCTCTGTTTGCACATGCATGGGAAATCTTTGTGCACAGATATGCCAAAGAGCTGTGCCAGGACCTGAAAGAGCCTTTTGGAACATCTGCACCATAATGGCGAAGGGGGGGGGGGGAGGTTACATGGGCGGAGCCACTAAAAAGGGAACTTAAATTCCACTTTAAGTACCCACATCTAGCTGATTTACAATGCCCACACACTTCATAGAAATACAGGGCTTTCTTCAAATGCCATCAATTGAATAGAAAATGGTAAAAATATGGAAACGTTACATTTTGTGGTTCCCCTATATATGTATTTATATTGAACCTGTACTTTGTACCTCTGCTGCTAATACTTACCTTTTGTGTGCACCTGCACTGCACCGTTTGCCCAGTGGAGTGCCCCCAAAAAAGTCTTCTGTAAGTTTCAGATTGCTCTAGGTCCGGGCATACACAAAGTTAAATATTTCCGTGATGCAGACTCCTCATGCTGCACCATGAAAATAAGAGGAGAGAGTTACCCTCCCACACACAAATTGTGTTATATTGAATGTGGCTATTGCAGTTAAATAGTATATTTGGAGAGTGTACACAAGGGTAAATACAGACTACAGAGCAAAACCAAAGGATCTGATGGGCAGGCCCAGTATCCTAAAAGTATTTTTCCTTGCAAATTATTTTTTTTTTTTCACACAGAAAAGGTCCACCCCTATGTTTGTTAGAGGGAATACAAACTAAGTAGAACTAAAGGCAAAACCTTTTCTTTTATTTTGCCTAGAGTAAGGGAGGGTTATAACCCCTGTTGTTTTTTTGCCATTTGTGTCTAATTAGGGAGATTTCCCTTCACTTCCTGTCCCATAGCCAAGACAAGAAGTGAGAAGAAATCCCTCCAAAGTGAGGGATACTTGAGGTATCACTAGGGGCACCAGAACTAGTGCTCCCCCGTTGGAAAATTTCCCCTTTATTATTTTTCTGGGGACAACCCAAAATGTGGGATTTTCTTTTACTTTCAATTTCAGTGATAATGGTAAACTGGACAAATAGACAGGTGACTCTCCCTAACGGTGGCATGAACAGCAATAAAAAAACTGACAGGTTTTTTAAAACCGTCTCCACTCAAAGAAAAAAAAAAAAAAGCTTTGCCTTTAGTTGTTCTATAATGCATTTCCATTTACCTGTGTATAAAATCAGAGTACATCCAAGATAATTTGACAATATTTGGGGTGTATAAGTGGCCTCCCCTCCAATCTTGACAATGTTGAGCACTGGTGTTACACAATAAATATTGAAAAGTATGTAGTAAGATGAAGAGTGCACATCTTTTTAGGAAAGTAAATAAACCTTTTTGAAACTCTGAGGGATACAACCATGTGCTTTACTACAGGTGAATAAGAGACCCATATAATCCTCTACATTTGGGCCAAACAATTTTGGGAGGTAGTGGCATCTTGACAGAATTAGAGAGGAACACCAGCACTCCTTTTAAACTATAACCATCATTTTTAAGGGACCCAGGCTTGAATAACATCTGAGGTCTGGGCTCAACCATATCAGATCCATTACTAATAGGATTTATTCAATCACCACTGTTATTGATAGCATAGGAGCAGTCTGTATACTTGCTACTGGAATCTCTCCCATGGGCTTCCAGGCGCATTTACTGAGTGCAGCAGGAAAGATATATAATCCTCTTGGCTTCTCTTTTCCCTCAGTTTACTCATTGGGGAACTTGATTTTATATGATTGTATAACCTTCACAATCCTTTAAACCTGCCTTGTTGGTCCTGAGGAACCGATGGAAGCCACAAAACACGTAGACTAATTAAAAAGCATATACAGCAAACGTGGTGGTTGTGTTTTAATGTTTTGTTGGATTTAATAGTTTTAATATATTGAAATAAAATTGATATTTTTATAAATTGTATTGGATGGCTACCAAAGGTATATTGAAAGTTCCACACGTACTACACAATAAATATGTCTTATATATTATTTTTATTATCTTACTGGATTTATATAGCGCCAACAGTTTGCGCAGCGTTTTACAATATAACGAGAGACAATACAGCAACAATACAGTTCAATACAAGAGGGATAGGAGGGCCCTGCTCCTTGGAGCTTACAATATAGAAGATGTCTTACATATATAATGCATTACACTTGCTTTGTATAACTTACCTAAGGGTCTTTGTTGAAGGGCTTTGGGTTCATGTTGATGACATCCAGTTAGATTTCAGTTCGAGATGCTTCTAAGATCATTCAGAATTCATTGACTGGTGCATTTGACTTAGTTGACCTCTTTCTGACTTGCATTTCACCTGCTTCAAGCGGGTTTTGCATTCCCATAGACTTCCCATAGAGTGGAAAAAGGCTCTTGTTGGATGCTTCTTGTGTAAAATGTAAAAACTCAATAATTACGTTTACAAGAAAAAGAATTGTCAGCAGAGGGCATGGGCTATCCAGTACACCTGTTTACTTTGCCTTGACTTTCAAATTACAGGTTCACAAAAGCCACAGCTTATTTTTGTTTCATAGAAGAAATGGAGAAAACATTTCATCTTCACAGTTGCAACTGATTTGGCAGGAGGAAGCATGGGCATGGATACACAACCAAGTTTTATTGACAGGGAACCTTTTTCCAGTTTCACCTAATATTATCTTTAATATTTTTTAGAGGACCATCACATGAGAACCAAAAAAGCTGCAGTCAGGTATAAAGTACTCTGCCTAAAAACTAAGCAGCAATGGGCAGATAAAGTGCCAACGCTTTCAGGTAGTTTCAGAACTTGCCTGCCTCCTGCTACCTCCCACTGACTCCTATTGGCCAGTAAAGTAGCTCATCATAGTGATAGGGTGGGGAGGGTGAGTGGAGAAGCTCCAACACTACCAGAATGTATGGGAGATTTGCCAGATCATAATTGTCCAGCATCCAAGCAGAGCAAGTCCCTGAGAGCTGTTGCAGGTATGTACCGGCATCTCTAGGTGTGTTAGTAAGCAGCTTGTTTCTTTCTCCCCTGTTAGATTTTTTTTTTTTTATTACTGATTACAGAACATATCAATTTTATACCCCTGGAAAACAGATTACCTTTGAAGAGCACAGTCAGAAATGTACCAAATGAACTTTGGTCACCTTCAACTAGATATATGCAAGAATAATAAAATATAAAAAACTCTTGAAATTGCAAAATGGATGAAGTCATTTCTAATTATCTTTACTTAAATATCTATATACAGTACCTCTAGTGGATAATTGTTCTGAAAAATAATGTGTGGGTGTGTATTTTAGTAATGTTGTGGGTAGAGCTACCGTATAGTGAAAGCAGGGGGCTTGGCCTTGTTGAAGCTGATAGATCTTTTTTTTTTTTTCTTGGGAAAATTATTTTTATTGATCCACGAGAAAAAAAATCCTTGAATTCCTCCCCCCCCCCCCCCCCCCCATGCAATACCTCCCATACATTATACACTAACAAAGAATCTGCCCAGGTAATAAGATAGGCACAATTGCAAGTGCAATGTGACATCAACCACACAGTTGGATTGACCAGGCCAGAGCTATTATCGCAAGGGAGAAAACGATAGGATACCTTTTAATGGATAGTAGTGTTTGAAGTGGTCATCAAGGCCACACCTGAGAGAGAGTGAAGCTGATGGATCTTAAGATAGCTGTACACTGTTTGTTTGTTTTTTTTTTTCCTTCAACTGTTTTTTTTCGTTCAACCGTTGGGCTACATAAAAAAACATTTCTTCATCCACACAAATAAGGACGTCCCCCCTCCCTATCCTGCTATTCCCCTAACCCCCATTAAGATATGTCCCTCCTCTGCAGAAGAGAACTGACAGCTTTCCCTCAGGGAGAATAAAAGGTTGCTGCTTGTGGTACAACTGCTCCTATGTTTTTTCTGCCCAGTACAATGAACCAACAGACCTGTCACACTGTATAATACTTGGCTATAATTGTTTCTGTGTAAAATCTTTGTGCATTTCTGTATATTAAAGCTAAACTCCAGGCAACCTCTAACACAGTGATATGAAATACAAATACAGGAGCTGTTTTGCCTAAGACAGGTCATACATTATTCATTTTTTATCATTTAACTGCTGGTTGAACGAAAATAAATGTACAGATTCCTCCATCCACACAACGAAGTGGATGGGGGAAGCGCTATTGTGTTCTGCTGGCAGAGAGCCTTCCCCACCCGCAGAATACAGTGATCAGTGTTGTCAGCTATAGCTGGTGGCAGTGATCATTTGGGAAAAACCCAACAGGCTGGTTGTGCACAAGTCGATCGATAGACTTTTATACAACTAGTTAGCCCATACATGGATCGAATTTTGCCTGTCCCTGCTGAACCAGCCAAATTTTGATTCATGTATGGCCAGCTTAGCAAAGCATTTGCAAATCTGGTCATCTAGTCTTGAGATTTCCACAGCTCAAAAAAACTGTGTATTCCTTACTGATGGGACTGTAGACCTGAATTTTCTCTGCTGCAGTTGGGTAACACAGCACTTGTCCCTCCGCCAGCCTACCTCTGTAAGGTGAAAGGAACAGGCTGATGGTTTTACCTCTTTGTCACTTTGCTGTTTCCTCCTATTGGCATGTCTATTGTGAGCACTGCAGCACAGCTAATTGACTTCTTCCTCTCCAATTCCAAACTCTCCTGTACAAGAGATTACAAGAACCTATACAAATACAGGTACTTGCATTTAAAAAATACATCTAATGATTTATTATTTAATACTGAGCTGCATTATTTATTTATTTCAGGTACTTATATAGCGCCGTCAATTTATGCAGCTCTTTACATATATATATATATTGTACATTCACATCAGTCCCTAACCCTCAAGGGGTGTACAATCTAAGGTCCCTAACTTGCATTCATACATATACATACTAGGGACAATTTAGACAGGAGCTAATTAACTTACCAACATGTCTTTGGAGTGTGGGAGGAAACGGGAGTACCCGGAGGAAACCCACACAAGCACAGGGAGAACATGCAAACTCCAGACAGGTGGTGCCGTGGTTGGGATTCGAACCAGTGACCCTAGTACTGCCAGGCGGAAATGCTAACCATTTAGCCAGGCATTAATTTATGTTTCTTATATCTACCTGAAGTTCAGCTTTAATATACGTGTCTGGCTTCTTCTTTAAATGTGTAAGATCAAATTAGTAGCTACGTGGGTAAATAAATTACAGCACTGATTTTCTTGCAACTGATCCCCATTTTTTAAAGACAAGGGAGGTTACGAATGATTTTTTTAGTGTATTCTTCCCTTAACCACTTTAAGTCGGGATACACCTACCCCCTTCCAGTTCAATTTTCGGCTTTCAGCACTGTCACAGTGACAATAACAATAACTCAGTCATGCAACACTGTACCCATAAGAACATTTTTTAATTTTTTTTGGTGAGACAGTTAGAGCTTTCTATTGGTGGTATTTGATCACCACTGGGTTTTTTTATTTTTTGCTATATAAATGAAAAAAAAGACAATGTTTTGAGAAAGTAATTGTTCTTCATAAATTTAGGTCAAAATGTAATACCCTACATTTTTGGGGTAAAAACTCAAAACAGTGAGTATTATTTAGTCTGTGTGAAAGCTATAGAGTCTACAAACTATGGGATATACAGTTCGGTCCATATATATTTAGACTCGGGCACAATTTTTATACACAGTCCCTCCATTTTCAGGGGCTCAAATGTAATTGGACAAATGAATATAATCATAAATAAAATGTTCGTTTTTAATAGTTTGTTGAGAATCCTTTACTGGCAATGACTGCCTGAAGGCTGGAACCCGCGAGGCTCTAACTGCAGCTGTTTTCAGTTGTTCTTTGTTTGTGGATCTTTCTGCCTTTAGTTTTGCCTTCAGCAAGTGAAATGCATGCTCAAGTGGGTTGAGATCAGGTGATTGATTTGACCATTGCAGAATATTCCACTTCTTTTTCTTCAAAAGCTCATGGGTTGCTTTTGCAGTGTGTTTTGGATCATTGTCCATCTGTACTGTGAAGCGCCGTCCAAACAGCTTTGCTGCATTTGGCGGAATCTGGCCTGACCGTATATCTCTAAACACTACAAAATTCATCCGACTGCGTCTGTCTTCTGTCACATCATCAATAAACCCCAATGACCCAGTGCCGCTGGAAGCCATGTATGCCCATGCTATCAGATTGCTTCTGCCATGTTTTACAGATGACTCTGTGTGTGCTTTGGATCATGAGCTGTTCCAAGCCTTCTCCACACTTTTTTATTCCCTTCATTCTGGTACAGATTAATCTTTAGTTTCTTCCGTCCAAAGAATGCTTTTCCAAAACTGGTCTGGCTTTTTTAAATGTTTTTTTGGCAAAGTTTAATCTGGCTTTTCTATTCTTTAGGCTTAAGAATGGCTTGCACCTTGTGGTGAACCCCCTGTATTTGCTCTCGTGAATTCTTCTCTTGATTGTAGACTTTGACAATGATACACCCACCTCCTGGAGAGTGTCCTTCACTTCATTGTCTGGATGTTGTGAATGGGTTTTTCTTTACCATAGAGAGGATCCTGTGATCATCCACCACTGTTGTCTTCCATGGACGTCCATGCCTTTTATGTTGCTGAGCTCACCAGTGCGTTCTTCTTTCCTCAGAATGTACTAAACTGTTGATTTGGCCACTCCTAATGTTGCTGCTACCTCTCTGAAGGATTTGTTTCATTTTTGAAGCCTTACAATGGCCTGTTTCATTTGTATGGACAGCTCCTTTGAATGCATGATGTAGGTTCACAGCAATAGATTCCAAATTCATATAGCACACTTAGAATCAATTCCAGTCCTTTTACCTACTTTAACTGATGAATAAATAATGGAGTAGCCCACACCTGGCCATGAAACAGCTTTTGATTCAATTGTCCAATTACTTTTGGTCCCTTGAAAAAGGGGGGGATGGCTACTCTTAAGAGCTGTAATTCGTACTCTGCCTCCAATTTGGATGTACATATCCTCAAATTAAACCTGAGGATGTGCATTTGCAGCCCATACCCAGTATATAACTATAGCTTGAATATGTTTTGGTAAATACCTGAACAAATCTAAAATTGTTCCTGTGTCCAGATATATATGGACCTAACTGGTATATCTGAAAATTGATCAGTTGAGACCCTAAAATGCCAGACACTGGTATGACGTGATCAGGTCGTTACATGAGGTATGGCGGTGATCAGGATGTTGGTATGGGATACAGAGGTGATCAGAACATTGGTATGGGGTCTGGCAGTGATCAGGATACTGGTATGGCATGGCATATGGGGTAATCAGGATGCAGGTATGGGGCATGCCGATGATCAGAATGCTGGTATGGTGTGATAAAGATGCTTGTATGGGCTATGGCGGTGATCAGGGTGCAGGTATGGCTTATGGCATTGATCAGAGTGCTGGTGTGGCATATGGCAGCGATCAGGGTGTTGGTATGGCGATTATCAGGGCGCTGTTGTGGGGTATGTTGGTGATCAGGATGCTGGTATGGCGTTTATCAGGACTTTGGTATGGTGGTGTTTTTTGTGCACACTGGGACAGGTGACAGGGGCTGGCTGCATAGTTTATTATGATTATACTGGGGTGGTGATCAGAGACACTGGTGTGGCTTGCACTTCAGTCAGTCCTGTCAGGCTGCTTGTACACTCACAGGCTACAGGATTGCTTCTCTCTGCTCTCACAGTGACAGCAGAGAGAAGCGATCTTTAGTTTCACTTTGCTATGTTTACTATGTGATTGCTGTTATTGGAGATAGGAATCACATGGTAAAAGACAGCTGTAATGTGATGTGTTGTGTGCAGGTGATATACTGATCGCCGGGCTCCTGTGTGCACGCTCTGTGAGCCGTGCAGGAGTCACCGATGCAGGCTGACGTACAGGTACGTTAGCCCGCATCGGCAAAGCTTCCTGTCAGCCATCTATGGATGTTAAATAAACCCAAAACTAAAAATTTGATATATTGCAGCTTATCAATCACTAGATGTGGTGATTGCATTAGTTTTCTTTTTTCCCCCTCTGGTTTGGAGGAGCACATTGCCACCTGTGGACAGCAGCATTGTCAGTTTGGGGAAGGGGAGTGTTAGATGTACTAGCAGATTTAGACACACTAACAAATTGAAGACAAACTCTAGCTAATACTTTATAGATAGTTACAGCAAACAGTTTATTTTGGGATAAAGGTTTTAAATAAATAAATAAGAGATCATTGTAAACATCCCTGCTAGCTAACATGGTTTGTCTCATCTCTGTACGGATGCCAACTGCTGGAGAGCTTGTTCTTTTGAAAAACAACAGACTTACTGGCTGGATCACCAGGTGGAAAAAAAGGAGAAAGATACTAAAAAAATGAATGAAACCATAACATCTAAATTATGGTAAACTGCAATATAATAAATGTTTGATTTTGGGTATAAGTCACATATAACAGTCTATTCTTAGATCTGCACATCTATCAAGACATGAGAATGAGCACTACACTGAATCATTGCTGACAAGATGAGTTTCACAATATCAGTTTCAGCACTGTCAATACATTTAATGGATAGAAGATAATATTTTCAGCATATGATTGGAAGATATTATTATAGTAATCCCACAAAAAGAAGATGCCTACAACACAAAATCATATAAGCCGAGCCTTGCTTATTTATAAGCCTCTTAATAGATGTCCTCCTGGTGTGAAAGATGGTGATATTCTTGTATAATCTGATCTCAGAGCTAATTTGGTGGGTAAACATAACCCCTCTGCATCTGAAATCCAAGCTTTTTCCTCACATGTTTGCAGAGAATAGTGTGCAGGGCCGAAGCCAATGTTATGAGATGCCTAGTGGAGATGTAGCCAGCTGGCAAGACAGTTAAACAAGGCTTCTGTTCTCTGTTCCCTGCCAGGTCTTTAAAAGTGAAACCGGGGAGAACTTGCTACAGATAGAGGCTCACGAGGATGAAGTGCTGTGTTGTGCATTTTCTGCTGATGACAGATTTATTGCAACCTGTTCCGGAGACAAGAAAGTGAAGGTGAGTTCTTACTCATTATAGCAATAGCTCTGGTCAGCATTGTTGTGATCTTTATTGCTTTTTCTGGTTATGGCAGATATGCTTCTAAATAAAGTGTATGATCAGTTTTATTACCCTAATAACGGTTATTGTATACATCTATATCTTCTTTATTTAAACAGTGCAACTTACTCAATCATTTGTGAATTGTGTGGAAAAAAAAATATGCATTATACCTCAGGGAAGTATTTCAAGGCTCATCATTAAAGTAAACCTGTGTATTTTTTTCATTGTTAGGACCCGTTTCCACTTGCATTTTGTGTACAGTTTGCATGTATACTGTACCACTGAAAAGAGTTGTACTTAATTTTCTTTGCTGTTTTTGCTTTTCTGTCGGCCAGTAAATATTATAGATGGCTTCAGTGGCTAATAGAAATGCACAGGGGTGGGGTTTCTTGACAGATATGCAAGCTTTGTTTGTAGATTGGGGCTACATAGTTGCGTTGAAGAAAAGCTTGAATATATATATAGGCTTCCATAGTTGTCTGTTGTATATCACAGAGCCAAATACAAAGAATTTGGAGCACCACTCAGAGCATTACAAAGCTACCCCCTGCAGTCCAAAGCACAGAGAAGGTGCCGGCGTTCACACAAGTATATCCAGGCTAGCAGAAGCAAATCGGAAGACAGAAGATGGAAGTGCCGCACAGTGGAACCCAGCCACTATACAGAAATTTTAAGATACGGCTTCAGCCTAAACTTCTCCTGACTACACCCCTCTGCCGTGTTTCGCCCCACCCTTGGGGCTTAATCCATGATTATGATTGATGGGTTCCAGTGTGCCTCGCTTCCACCTTCTGTCTTCATCTTTATCACAGAGCCACATTTAAAATCCACGGGTACACAAATCTGGACAATTCAAACTGAGCATGTAGCATATGATGGAAAAAACTGACATTAAAGATAAATATTATAGATAAATATTTTGGTATATCGTAAATCTGTTCATAAACCCCCATTGACTAGAAGTAGCTGCCATTATAATTTTACTTGATTTAAAGTGAACCTATCATTAAACTAAAAGTCTCACTAAATCCACATCATTAAAGGATAAGTTCACCGTTATGCTAAAAATAATAAATGCACCTTTCTTTGCAGCCAAAAAAATGGGCATTTTAATATTCTTTGTTGCATGAGCCTGTAAGGCATTTCAACAAAGAATATTGCCATGTAGGTCTTCTGCAGATCTGTCAGTATAGCTGCTTGCCTGTACAGCATGTATGAGCAACCAGATATACTGACAGGAAGATTCAGTGAACTACCACGGAGCTCCACAGCCCTGTGGTAGTTCATTGAGAACTACAAACCAACAGCCGCTAAGGCTGTCGGGACTTGTAGTTTCTCATTCACAGAAAACAGTGAATGAATGACGTGGCCAGAGCCCTGCACGACCACGTTTTTTGTTTAATTTGACATCTAGCAAGGGGGGGAGAAGATCCCCTGCTAGATTTCCTGTCAAAGTGGGTAGCGGGGGACTGTCTGATCATAACATGTTACACCCTGAATATGGGTGTAACATGTTATGAAAGGTGAACTTATCCTTTAAAAGCTATCCACAAATGCTGTATTACATGTTGTTCATACTCAGTCACTATGGGATTCGTGTTCTGTATTCTGCAAAAACCTGATCGATCCTCCTGTTCTCTATCCCCCATTCAGTTCATGTCCCCAATGCAGTCGGTGATTTTCAAGAGCAGTGTTGGCAGCTAGTGCACATGCTCATTCTCCCTTTGCTCATGCAGGATGAAGTTACAGATTCATTTAATAGCCTGTCCACTGCTTATTCTTACCTTCTTTTTGCTCCTCTGACATCCTGTTTGACCACCCAAAGATAAGTGAATTATTCAGCAAGTTCCAGTCACTTTTGTAAAACTTAAAAGTCAGCAGCTACCGACTTTTAGTAAACAAACTCACCTGTCCCCGGATCCAGCGCTGTGGTCACCCGAGATGGTGCCAGGGACCACCAACATTTTAACTGTTTGCACCCAGCTGTTTGCGACTTCACAGCCAGGTGCTCACTGCACACTTGTGACATGTCCCAGAAGACTGCGGTGAGGGAGGGGAAAGGAGAACTTCCGCTGGGATCACCTAACCCCCCCCCCCCCCCCCCCCCCTTTCCAAAAAGAATGCCAAAAAGAGGAGCGGGAGAGGAGGCCTTAAAGCGGCAGAACTTCCCCTTTTGGGTGGAGTTCTGCTTTAAAGCTGTGGGAGGGCACATGACTCATTCTTCCTCCTACAATGCATCACTGGGTGAAGCCAGACCTCTGCCCAGTTACATAGGGGAAAAATTAGAGGTAAAGATATAGTTAAAGGAGAAGTTCTCCTTTGGAAACATGTTACACGTTCTACCTGTTTTAAGCTGGAACATGTAACATGTTCCCGATCCTGCAGCAGGCCACCTTCTGAATACCCCCCGACAGAAGTACAGGGAGAAGCTCCACGTACTAGCTGTCAGATTTCAAAAATAGCCACTAGGGCTCTGTCGGGACTTGTAGTCCCATTCATTCACAGAACACTGCGAATGAATGACGCACCCATGTGGGTGGACCCAGCTGCAGAGGTCCACCCACACGGCCCCGTCATTCATTTGTAGAGTTCTGTGAATGAATGGACTACAAGTCCCGACAGCCTTAGCAGATGTTGGCGTGTAGTCCTCAATGAACTAGCGGCTGTCAGGTTGGAGTCCTAAGTGTTCATTGATTCTTCCTTTCAGCAAGTATAGGCTTGCCTGTATGGGATGTAGGAGCAAACAGATATACTGACTGTGCAGGAGACCTGCATGACATCAACCATGCTGATTGCTGGTACAATGTTTTATAGGCTCCTAACACAAATAATAATTTCACATTTTTTTAACCTTTCATTCATTATTTTTTGTGGAATGGTGAACTTATCCTATAAGCACAACAAAATCAATCAGGTAGTGGAAAGAAACAAAGTAACTTTCTGAATTAGCACACTGATGTATAAAGCATGCGATTAATGAGACAAAAGTAAATGAAAAGTTAATATAGCAAGTGTTTACCTGTACGGCAGAGGGATGAACTTTTGTGTCAAAAGACAGACAGATCTAACTTGATCACAGATATAGTTCTTTTTTCTAAGTGGTGTATAGATTGTGTTTCGGGACACTTACAGTGTCCTCCCCTCGGAGCAATATATAGCTTGGGAGATGTAAGAATGTGATCCCATCCTCTTCCCGCCACATTGTAGCACTGGGCCAGGTCTGAGCGCTGTTACCTGAGCAAAAACAGAGGGGTCCTTGGCCTTCTGTAGGATTCAGCTAGAACAAATTGGAGCTTAAAAAAGCTTTTTTTATTAAATTTGCTCTAACAGAAGGCACATAAAAGTAGTTGAGGGGACATGTTACTTTTAGCTGAGCCTCTCTGTTTATTTGCCGAATCCTGAATTGTCTTCTTCAGCCAACTTTTTTTGAGTCTTAGAGTCTTAAGGTACAAGCATTGGCACCCTGTTGTGTAATTTCCTAATACATCTTCTTCTTATCACTCCCTCAATATTTACAAGCTGTCCAAGCACTTGGGTAACAAAGCATTCTATTTCATCCCCCTTGCATGACAGTTGGGATGAGGACAGGTTCTGGTATTCAGTGCTTTTTTTTTTATTTTATAAAGATAACATAATGTACAGTATATTTTGAGAATGAATGTACATTCAAGTATAACTTCAGCCAAAGTAACAGAAGCTTTAACCCTTTTTATATTTTATTTTTAAAAGATAAAGCACAAGCACTATTTGATTATGGTTAGAGAGGAGGTTTATAGCCCCTGTTATGTATTTACTGCTGTCTCTGTTCCTTTTGAGGAGTTCTAACCTCACTATTTGTCTTGGGGACTATTGTTACTGGGAAAGGATATGAGGATATTACAGATGTTGTGTCATAAGGATTGAGGGAAAACTCAGAGAAAATAGAAACTGGCCAGTCTATTGCCAGCACAATTGCAGTATTCCAATAGGGAACCATGAATGCGTAATGCTAGAACTGGTAAAAGCTGCATTGGTCCTAGGTAGGCTTACAATGAAAATAGTTTTTTGTACTTAAAGCACTGAGTGAAATTTGCATTCTTGATACAGAAGCTTGGGTGGATTTAGATTTTTACTTTTAAAAGTCCTTACCCAGAACATTGGCACGGTGTCTTACTTTTTTTTTTTTTTTTTTGTTTAGGAGTTCAGTGTTTTTTCAATTGTAACCAGTAAACACTTTTTTTTGTGATTAAAGTAGAACTAAACTTAAAGCTTTTTTCATTTTAGAGACCGTTTTTAACACCTGTAAGCTTTATTTTACCATCCCAATGGGAATATTTCTTTTCAGTTCCCTGTCCCATAGCCTAAACAAAAAGTGAGAGAAAATCCCTCTAAAGTGAGGGAATCCCCGGTTGTCACCAAGGTCACCAGAACTGGTCTCGCCATTGGAATATTTACGCACTATTTTGGGACAACCCAAAATTTGGGATTTTCTTTTGCTTCCACTTTTGGTGATATTGGTAAACAGGCCTAATAGGGTGAATCTCCCTAACAGGGACACAAACGCCAATACAAATATGATTACTCTATGCTAACCTATTTTTTAAAGAAATGCTTATCGCACATAATTAGGGAACATAGTTTTAAGTAGAAATAGAGGCAAAACCCCTGTCAGGTTTTTTTGCCATCTGTGTCCCACTGGGGAGACTTACCTTCAATTCCTGTCACATACCCAAAACATGAAGTGAGAGGAAATCCCCGCAAATTCATGGAATCCCTTGGGGCTCCCAGGTCACCAGAATTGGTGTCCCCGTTGGAAGATATCCCCTCTAACGGGGATATCTTCTGGGGAAGATCATTTGGGGACAACCCAATGATAATGATAAACAGGAGAAATATAGAGGGAGTAGTTCCTTAATGGGGGCAGAGGTAGCAATAAAAATCTGACGTGTTCTAATCCATCTCTGCTCTTGTAAAAACTTAAAGAAAAGGTTTTCCCTTTTAGTTATACTTCTAGAGCTAAAGGGAAAAATACATTTTGGGTTTAGTGACACTGTAAATGCATCTAGTGCCTAATTTGACGAGTTATTAGTCTCTTGATAACTCTTGTACAGCAGCACTCAGACTGGATGAGGGAGAGACAGAACTAAGAGACAGCTTTAATTCTAGGAGGTGCTGTGGGCCAACATCAGCTGTGTTGGTACATTGCATAAGAACCTACAAGAACGCACCGAGGGTGGCTATGCTATCCCTACAGTAAGACCATGCAGAGCTAGCATAGCTACCTTCAAAAAGCAAGTGGAAATGTCAGATATATCTTTTTTTTTTTTTTTTTTTTTTTTTTTTTTTTTTTTTTCAAACAGACAGGAAAAACCATTAATAATCTCTTAACATATTTATACAGAAAATTCCCAAGTGTCTGAAAACGACTGTATTATAATAATGTAACAGTATGTTTCTGAAATCAGTATTGTTTGACTGCTGTTGTTCCTTTGCACTATAACCATGCCTCCAGGGCTTGCGCTAGGTAAGACTGTTCCATTTCACTCTATACAGTTAACAATACGATGTCTTTTGGTACCTCGTAAGCTCAGCAGATACCCATGGTCATTCTCAAGGAGGACATGATTGGCTCAAGGATGATCAGTTGGAAGAGGATGCACCACAGCTCAATTTTGAGTGTCATGGCAAAGGCTGTAAACTTCTGTACATGTGTTTTTTTTTTTTTTTTCTTCGTTTTTTATTTACAATAAATTGCAAAGATTTCAAAACAAACTTCTTTCACGTTGTCATTATGGGGTATTGTTTGTAGAATGTCCATTTTGGAATAAGGCTGTAACATAACAAAATGTAGCAAAAGTTAAGCGCTGTGAATACTTTCTGGATGCACTGTATTATCTTTTGGACAAAATGCTAATGATGTGAAAAAGATACAAAGGCTCCATTCACACATGTGCGACTTCAAAATCGTGCAATTTTTCATTGCAACTTTGATGTGACTTTGGACGAGTGCAACTTTGGCTTTGACCAAGGATTATTGTTTCTGCTGTACAAAGTCGCACACAAGTTGCATGTATAATATTCAGGTGTGACTTTCATGCGACGTTTGAGGGTTCACATTGAACTCTATAGCCCTCAAGTCGTATGAAAGGTCGGACCAAAGTAGTGCAGGAACTACTTTCAAGTCGCTGTGACTTGAAGTCACACAGATATGGATGGTAGTCATAGGGAAACATGGGATGCGACTTGTCATGCAACTTTGGACCCCAAAGTTGCATGACAAGTCACACAAGTGTGAATGGGCTCTTAAGCTCGACCTGCTGGCTGAATAGAAGACTACATAATATTAATGTGCAATTTTTCATATTTACCATTTTTTTTGTTATGACCATAATGAAGAAAGAGAATATTGTATTTTTAAGACCTCAAAACATTCTCTCTAATGCTTATATTATGAATTATTCTGATACGTTGCTTTATGGCTAATAATGTTTATGTGAACACCCTATCATCAGGATCATATAACTACATAAAATCCACTTGCATGATCTAGACCTTTGATATTATTCAAGTGCCTGAAGTCAACACAGTTCATCCTATAGTCTTTTTCTATTTCATCCAGATTTGGAACGCATTGACCGGGAAGCTCATAAGGGAGTATTCGGAGCACTCAGAGCAGGTCACATGCTGCCAATTCACCAATGGAAACTCTCCTTGCCTGCTGGCCACCTGTTCCTATGACTGCACACTTAAAGTATGTAAATCTGCTCACAGACAAAGCTACTGCTACACTTCACATTGTCATTATTTTTACTACAGTCCCTGTTGATGGTTATTATTTTTAGCTTGGCAGAAAGAAGAGTGGTGCAGTTTGGACAGCAGCATTTTCTGCTTGTTTCCCTAGTAATTACTATGCATGCTCACTGGGGTAGAAAGCAGCAGTGCTGTAATTACCATGCACTTAAGTTGTCTATAAAGCAAAGTCGAAATAATTATTATTAGGCTGCTTGTTCTTGAAATATTAAAAGAATATTCCACAGTGAATTTGCTCAGTTAACTCCATACAAACCTAGTGCAATACAGTTTTGTTTTTGCACTTCCATCTTAAAATTGACATTCCAAGCATGAGAGTAACAGAGATGAAAAACATCTCATGCTAATAATGCATTTACATGTAATGTGATCAAAATAAATTTGGGGTAATGTTCTAATTTACACTGGAAGAGCTAGGCTTCACTCTGACAAAATTCATGTAAAGAGTACAATTTATTTTTTCTAGAGATAGATTTCCTTGGTATAAGAAAAATGGACCCGTCCATGTGTTACTTACATCTTCCATTTTCAGTGAGAGAGATGTAATTTGATGTTTCACCTGCTCTGACACCTGCTGGTGTAACCTGGTGCCACACACTGAACTATAAAATTTGACACTCCAAAGCCTTAAAGAGAACCAGTCACCAATGGGCATTTTTGGTAATCTGTATTTCCACACTTGAATTGTCCAGCCTTTCCTCTCAGCAATTATTTTTTTTTTTTTTTATTTCCTTACATTATCTCCCCTGGTACACCAGAAGTGTCAGACTGTGAATTGTCTTGTTTTATGCCAGAACGCAGTGCTGATAACAGACATGAAAACTATGATATAAGAAATGTGCTACCAGGATTACATTAAATAAATTGAAAAGATTAGTTCACTGACTGTTATACCCTCCTTTGGCTGGGCAATGTGTCTGTTATCCTGTGGCAACTGTCTAAGATGGGATTTTTTTCTCACCCATTAACCACTTCCAGTCCAGACACTTTTACCTCCTTCCTGTCCAGGCCAATTTTCAGCTTTCAGTGCTATCACACTTTGAATGACAATTGCGCGGTCATGCAACACTACCCATATATATTCTTTACCATTTTTTTTGAGACAGATAAAGCTTTATTTTGGTGGTATTTATTCACCACTGGGATTTTTATTTTTTTTGGTATGTAATGAAAAAGTCCAAAAATTTTGAAAAAAAGTGTGTTTTTCTTATAAAATTTTGCAAATAAATAGTATTTCATCATAAGTCTTGGCCAAAATGCATTCCGTTATCTTTTTAGTAAAAAAAAAACCAAATTAATTTATAACCAAAAATTATAATTTTTAAACATTTTTTTTTTTTTTTTCCCTTTTTTTTTTTTATTATTGTGTTTTTTTACATACTGTCACCCTAGCAGTAGTGTCACCATGGTGACACTGTGCTACTTGTGGGGGGTGATGATTTTTTTTTTTTTTTTTTTTTTTACACTGATTACTTTTACACCCATAAAGGCTGTAAAAGCAATCTTTTCTCCTCTCTAGCTGCATTCTTGCAGCCATTGAGAAATACTGTGTGAGCTGTGATTGGTCACAGCTTGTCACATGGTACAAGGCTGTTGTGAATAGCCTTGTACCATGTGACCTCTGATCATTCACAGATTTTATACGTAGTAAGCAATGATGTCAGAAGTGACATCTTGTTTACTACTCTGCATGTGATCACTGATTGGCCAATCCGTGATCACGTGATCGGGACCTCGCACAGAGGTCCTGTCCGACGATCGGTGTTCCTCCAGACACAGTGGGCACCGAATCGCGGTGCTGCATGCTCCGAGGGAGCGCGCACAAGCAGGGTGCAGGGAGGCCGTTTTTAAATGGCCACCCGACCCTGCAGTGCCACTGCACTGTTGTATATAAATGGCCAGACGGGAAGTGGTTGAAGGGAAACAGGAGTTCTTTAATATTTGAGTTATACTGCAACCTACAGGAGAATTGGGCACTGGCAAAAAAAATATTGTAGGCCAGGCCAGGCTTCTCCCTCCTACTACCAGCATGCTTCAGTTTTTGCTAGTGTTCGAGGAGTATGGACATCTTTTCTACAGCTCTGCTGTGTTAAAAGACTAACCTATTTTTTATAAAAGAGCAAGCATAAGTAACCACACCTAAGCATAAATGTGGAACTATGTTGCTCAGAAAAAAGGGACTTTATATGTACCTCACAATGAGATAAATATACAACACAAAACTATAAAAAAAAATATTTATTAATCCATCCAGTTAAAATAGACATTTTACATAAAAAAAACAATGAATATCACGGTCTAGCACCATCATACAGTCTTTTTAAGTTTATGATGAACAAACAATAAGCATATAGGATCAACGTGTTTAGCTGCATTTGCTTCCTTAGGATGCACGCTTGAGATGCAACACTAAGCCATATCAGATCACCTAGCATGAAAAGATTGAAACAGTACACATCCTTCTTTGTGGGGGAGAAGAGGATCACATCACCCAAACGGAACCAAATGGAAGATATTAAAGTGTTACTAAACCCAGGACCCTGCATTCACTATATCTAGTCTCCCACAGTACACGCAACATGGAAATGCAATTATTTTAGCAAATATAAACTGCTAAATACCTTTTTCTCAGCAGCAGTTAGAGCAGTCTTGTGACTTCAGCAGAGCACTGGTTAAAGCTTGTAGGAGGAGTTTTCTTTCTGCTCTAGGAGGATGCAAAATCCCTGAAACTCTGTCTGGACAGTGCTGATTGGCCCTGTGCTGATCACATGCACTCTCCCAAGAAAAAAAAAACCCTCTCTAGCAATACACACCAAACTGAGCATGTGCATGTGGTTATAGGTTCAGTCTGTCTTATCAGGAGATAAGACAGACATGGGCATTTGATCCTCTTTTCTATGCCCCTCCTCTTGTTCAAACGGCCTTTTTACACAGGATTAACTCCTTAGGTTCCACAGTGAGTATACCTAGCATGCTTTACTGCATACATAGACTGATTTTACTGTTGTGGATTTATTAACACTTTAACCCCTTGACGCCGAACGTACGCAAATATGCGGCCTCTCGGCGGCTGGTCCTTGACGCCGAGCGGCCGCATATTTGTGTACCATTTGAAAACACATATGTGCTGAGAGTGCGCGCTCCCAGCACATGTCGGTGTCTCACGGAAAGGTCCCGATCTCCCCTTGCGATCAGGACCTTTTCCAATCATGTGACTGCCGTGACAGCGAATTACAGGTGGGCGGCACTGCAGGGCACAGGTGGGCGGCACTGCAGGGCACAGGTGGGCGGCATTGATGGGCACAGGCGGGTGGCACTGCTGGGTACTGATCATCAGGGCACTGATCATCAGTGCCCTGATGATCAGTGCCGATCTCTTCTCTGACAATTGCTGGTTATTGGCAGTACTTTCTTCATGCTGTGACAGCATGAGGAAAGTGCAGCCGATAAGCGGCAACTGTATTTACCCAGTGATCTGCTGTGTCATTGGACACAGCTGATCATGTGGTAAAAGGCCGCTGTGATTGGCCATTTACCACAACATGTGATCAGCTCGCCGGGTGCGTGCTGCTGGGGGTGCGCAGGGGGCATCTTCCCATAACTTGACAATCGCTCTGTAGCCGTGTTTCGGCTTTAGCGTGGTCGGGAAGAGGTTATAAATATAAAATGGTAAATTCCTTTTCTCATCAGCAGTTAGAGCAGTCTTGTGACTTCTATCAGTGTCCAGCAGAGCACATGTTAAAGCTCGTAGGAGGAGTTTTCATTTTGCTCTAGGAGGATGCATAACCCCTGACTTCTGTCTGGACAGTGCACTCTCCCAAGAAATAAAAAACCTCTCTAGCAATACACACCAAACTGAACATGTGCAGAGTGTCTCCACACAATATGTCTTATCAGGAGATAAGAGGGGGACACCGGAAAAAGGGGAGGATCAAAGAACACGGGATCAAACTGACTATTTACACAATGCAGAGGATTAACCCCTTAGGTTCCACAGTGGGTATAACAAGCATGCTTTACTGCATATACAGACTGATTTTATTCTTGTGGGTTTAGTAACACTTTAACTGATGAGCTTACCTCTGAGGAGTTGCAATCTAATGCTGTTACTCACAAATAAAGGATACAGCTTTAGCTCTTATTTATGCAGTACGCACTACTCTGAAACTAGAGGATCAGCCTGTTGCTGCTACCAGTGTTGTGTCCACCCTTGGGTCATTTAAAACTTCTAAGGCCGCACAGATTTTCCCTTTGACCAGCTTTTTCAACTGTTTCTTCCAGTCCAGCATACTGACAAGTTATATGCCTCCCTATCCCCTGCCCCTTACCCGGGTGCTTATTGGCTTTTTTATCAGTCGGTTACGATTTTTTGCAAAAGTGGTCCCTTCCCACTGTGGATCTGTTTTTTTTTTTCCCCTGTCTTAACAGGACATTTGCTATACTGGTGAAGAATGCGTATGTTTTCAAGGGTAGGTAGTTGAAAGCACTTTTTAGAACCTTGTTCTCTGGTGAGTCCTATGCTTCACACGTTCTGGCTGTAACTTTATTTAGTAAAATCATGTCAGACTGGACATAATCTAACCACTTCTGCTGTTGAACACATGGAGCAGGTGGCTGTAGCATTAAACTTCAGTTGTAATAGTTTCCTGGAAGCTTCTCATCCTATTTTACATACGTGCCTCATGTCAATACATATGTGTAGGGCACTTTGGCAGTATCATTGGGCAAGAACTGTTTGAGTCGCAGCTTAGCAAATCTCCATTGGAACCTTCTAGATCAAGGTGTTATTTCCTATGGCAAAACAGGATTTTACATGATATGTGAGGTCCTTTAGGTGGCTTTTTTAGCTGCAGGCAGTCCCCAGTTTTCTGCTGTTTTTTTTTCTTGGGCCTGTTAGCAATTGCTTGGTGTGCTGCTTAGCTCTCAGTTGGACTGATGGCTAAACACTTTCTTTGTTTCTCAATAGATGAAAAAGAAAATACAATCCTAATTCCAACAAAGTTGGGGCCCTGTGTACAATATACATGGAAACAGAATGCAGTGATTTGCAAATCTCACAAACCCATATTTTATTCACAATAGTAAACATATCAACGTTTAAACTGAGAAAATGTACCATTTTACAAAAAAAAAAAGGCTGTCATAGATGTATGCAGTTTAGCATTGTCCTACTGAAATATGCAAGGCCTTCCCTGGAAAAGATGTTGTTTGGATGAGAACATATGCTGACCTAAAATCTGGATATATCTTTCAGCATTGATGGTCCCTTACCAGATGTGCAAGCTGTCCGTTCCATACGCACTAATGCACCTCCATACAATCAGAGATGCAGACTTTTGTACTGATAACAAGATGGAAAGTTCCTCTACTCTTTAGTCCAAAGGATGCAGCTCCCATGATTGTCAAGAAGAATGTAACATTTTGATTCATCTGACCACAGAATAGTTTTCCACTTTGCAACATTTTAGATGGTGGTGTTTTTGGATCATGTTCAGATATGGCTTCTTCTTTGCTTCTTCTTTGCATGATAGAGCTTTACCAGTGTTTGGATGACATGGTGTTCAAACAGACAAATACTTTTTGGAAGTATTCCTGAGTCCATGCAGTGGTGTCCATCACAGAATGATGCCTGTTTTTAATGCAGTGCCGTTTTAGGGCCCAAAGATCATGGGCATCCAGTATTGTGTTTTGGTCTTGTCCCTTGCACAGAGATTTCTCCAGATTCTCATGATGATGATAATATATTTAAATTCTTTCTGCAATTTTACACTGACAAATGTTATTCTGAAATTGTTCAACAATTTTTAAGGTGCAGCTTTTCACAGATTGGTGAACCTCTGCCCATCTTTACTTCTGAGATGCTCTGGGCGAGATTTACTAAAACTGGAGCATTCAAAATCAGGTGCAGCTCTGCATAGAATCCAATCAGTTTTAAGGTTTTATTGTCAAAGCTTAATTGAACAAGCTGAAGTTAGAAGCTGATTGGCTGCCATGCACAACTACAGAAGATTCTGAGTGCACCAGTTTTAGTAAATCTCCACCTCTGACTGTCTAAGATGCTCATTTTAAACACAGCCATGTTACTGACCTGTTCCTGTTGTCAATTACCTTATTAGCAGAATGTTGTTACAACTCTTCCTTCTTAGTACCACTTACTTTGCCAGCTTTTTGTTGCCCTGTCCCAACTTATTTGAGATCTGTTGCTGCCAACAATTTAAAGATTACCTTTTTTTTTTTTATCCTTAAAAAGGTACATTTTCTCATTTTTAAAGTTTGATTTTTTTCTATTGTGAATAAAATATGGGTTTTGCAAATCATTGCATTCTGCTTTTATGTAGATTTTGGTTAGCGTCCCAGTCTCTCAACTTTTTTTGGAATTGGGGTTGTAGGGTTTTTGTGCTCGCTGAAAGAAAACTTCTTTTTGGAGTCTATTGAGAGACACAAGTCTTCCCACTTTGTGTTATGATCACATTCTCGGTATTGCTTTGCTACATGCTGATGGTAGGAGGGGTTATTCTGGGCTGGCATACAGTTCCTTTGTCAGCGTCCATTCTTCCTGTAGGCAGCAGCAAAGCCTGTAGGTTAAAGCTGTTCTATTAAAAATTAACCTCTTGCCCTCCAGAGGATTTACCCCCCTTTCTGACCTAGGCCATTTTTTGCGATACAGTGCTGCGTTACTTTAACTGACAATTGCACGGTCATGCAACGCTGCACCCAAATGAAATGTATGTCCTTTTTTCCCCACAAATGGAGTTTTCTTTTGGTGGTATTTGATTGCCTCTGCTTTTTTTTTATTTTTTGCTCTATAAGCAAAAAAAAAAGCCCAACAATTTTGAAAAAAAAAATCTATATTTTTGGCTATAAAACATGTCCAGTAAACAAAATAAAAAAATCAAATTTCGTCATAAATTTCGGCCAAAATGTATTCTGCTACATGTCTTTGCTAAGAAAAAAAAAATCCCAATATGTGTAAATTAATTGGTTCATGTGAAAGTTATAGCATCTACAAATGGCGATATATATACTGGAATTTTTTTTTTTTTTTATACTAGTAATGGCGGCGATCAACGACTTATAGCTGGACTGCGGCAGGCATTCTGACACTGGGGGAGAACTGACTTGGTGTCATTGACATCCCCAGTGACACCAATACAGTGATCAGTGCTAATAAAAAGCACTAACACTGTACTAATGGCACTGGGCAGGAAGGGGTTAACATCTGGGTCGATCAAAGGGTTAACTGTGCTGTGTGTGTTTCTACTATGTGGTGTGTTTTACTGTGTAAGCATGCTGCTTTGTATTGCTCTGCAATCACCAGTGTGCATAAAAAAGTAATAAATGACACAAGTCACCAGTTTATTCCACCCAAAATGTGACCAGATAACACTCAAATTCTTGAAGATCTCCTTGTGTTCAAGTGTCAGCAGCTTACCAGGAGGACAGACCCCCATGTTTATAGGAGGTCTAATGTGCTTAATAAGAATACAGCAAGCCCTTGAAATGGTGTTCTGTTATTACAGGAATTCACTGGGGTAGTCAACAGGGTCTGTGTATGACTGTCTGCTCCACCAGGTACCCCACCCACTGTAAGGCATAAAATAAACACAGAAGTTCCATAGTGAAAAACCATTAGGTCACTTTATTGTCATAAAAGAAAGGTGCTCACAATTCCAATGTAAAAATAGACAGGTCAGTAAGAACCCAGACACTGCTTTTCCTTGAGGCGCAAGTACGTCAGCACAAGACTCCACTTTGGTGATTGCACATGATTCATTATATTCACTTTATTGCAGGAGTTGAAAATTTTTTATAAGTTTCAAGGTACAGTGTAACATTATTTAGTTTATTTTTTTGGTGAATATTTTGTATTCTGATATTTGGGTGCTACTGTATTAGTTTTGAACAAAAGTCGTATTATCCATTACGTGTAAAGCTTTTCTCTCGCTTCCTTTTTAGTCTCAAGGACAGAGCGTAAAGAAAAATTTCGCTAATGACACACAGATGGCAAAAAACTGTTGAGTTTTGCCTTTGGATATATTTTTATTGTTCTTAGTACTCTTAATTGATAACATTTGGGTACTTGGAATATCACACTATATTGCCATGTGATTAAAGATGGTTTCCTTATAACTGTTGGATCCATGGACACAATGGGGATATATTGTATTGTGTGTACAGATCTCCCCTAGAAATTACCTTTCCTTGTTGCATGATTGCTTGACTGCTTTCATTGGCAGTTACTGTATTTATTTACATAATACATTTGATTACTGTAGACAGACCCTGACACCCATCCATACATCTATTTAAAAAGAAACATCAGCAGGTAGAACTCCGCATTGATTTTAAAATGTTTGCAAATTCTGTTTGATCAAGAGAGTATTCTTTTTCCAAAATAAAGTTAAATTTTAAAGGCCAAGTGTGCTTTCAGAGTACATCTATCCTGCCTGTTTGGTGCTGTCAGATTAGGTAAGCGTGCATCTGGAGCACATGAGAGAGAGATACTTTTTTTATCAGGGAAAATAGACTGGCAGGATAAATGTTCTGTGGATAATTACTTACCCTTATTGACTAAAGTTCTCGGAGTTCAAATTTTACACAATAGCTAAAAGAAAATAGTATTTTATTATATGGTCATCAAAAAAGAAATTGTTTAACATGACAATGTGAGAATTAAAATAAAGCTTGTAAAGTACAATCTAACACGAATTTGTTTTGGTTATGCAGCTGTGGGACATTGATAGGAAGTATTGTCTGAACACCCTTTTTGGTCATTCAGATTGTGTGAACCATTGCAGATTTTCACCTGATGATAAGTATTTGGCCAGTTGTTCTATGGATGGTATTTTACTGGTAAGTTAAATATTACTAATGTGACACATATTTGACATTGCTATAATAAACCTGTCTTGATGGAAATATGGGCACTGCCATTGCTGTTCTTTGGAAAATGCTAGCTGTTTGGCTGTTTTGACTATTCAATGACTTCACCAACTTGCAAGTATGCAGATCTCTAAAGTTTAAGTCCAGAACTGCATTCTTGTTTCAAGTCTGGGTCTCAGACGGTATCATTTTCATCAACTAGTATTTTGAAAATTAGAACTCAACAATGGCAGGGTCTTCATGACAGATTTCCTAAGGCTCCAGACTGCCTTTGAAGATTTCCAAAGCTTCCAGACTGCCTTTCATATGTCTGAAGCTGCCTGAAAATTTGAGTCCTATGGGCAGCATGCTTTGTAGGTTTATGGGCACTGTCAGTCATATAACTATGTTGTGCTAGGTAGTTCTGCAATCTTTATAAGATTTAATGAACTCTCTAGGCACATTCAGAGAGTCATGTTTTGTTTGTCTTTATTTGGAGCCATATGGTTTTTACTATTGTTTATTATGCAGATATGCATGTTCATTTATTGAACAGTTTCATCATAGTATTTAAGATGTCAAGGTAAAACCAGACAACATCAAGATTGTTTAAAAGGCTTTCATTAAAATGTGTATTGTTTAGAAGATCGGTCTGCTTAATGTTTTTGGCTGAAGTGTATTTAAAGGCTATTTTTTTTTTTTTACTTGCCTGCTTTGTGCAATGGTACTACACAGAGCAGCCCCGATCCTCCTCTTCTCAGGTCCCCCACTGGCAATCTTGGCTCCACCTTCTCTGTATGTTCCCATAGCAAGCCATTTGCTATGGAGGCACACGGTGTCTGCTCACTCCCGAGCTGTGTGTCTATGGAGCCACACTCTGTAGACTCACACAGCAGGGGCTTAGCCTGCCCCCCACTTCCTCCTCAATGCATTTGATTGACAGCAGCAGGAGCAATGCAATAAAGTAAAAAAAAAAACAAAACGATTTTTAGCTTTAGTATCACTTTAAGTTTGGTAACTCATCATTAACTCATCATTGTGCCCCATTGTAGCAGATTGTAATGTTTTATACTTATAGTTTCATTTTTCCTCCAGATGTTTGTTCAGGTTAGTATCCCCACCATTATTAAAGCAGAACTCTGGGCAAAAACTTTTTTCCATGTCCTTGCTGCAGATCTCCTACTTACTGAATACGCCCTCCATCTTCTGGTTCAATTAGTAGTTGCTGTAATTACCCATGATTTTGCTGGGATTCTACCCAGAACTGCAACACGTGTGTTTTTTTTTCTGTGTTTACAATGCATTTCAGGCCTGTTTCATACCAATGCACTTTGCATTTTGTCCGTTTTGCTGTGCTTTTTGCAGTGCATTTTAAATTTCTGCATGCATGTTTTTGATGCGTTTTTTTGCATTTTTCTGTTTTTTTTTTTTTGGCCAGTTTGTTGCTGGGCAGACTAAAAACACAAAACATATCAAAAACATAACATGTGCAATTAAAAAAAAAATTCAAAAACTGCATCAAAACTTGCATGCAAAAAACGCATTGCAAAAAGCATGGCAAAATGGACAAAACACAAACTGCATTGGTGTGAACAAGACCTGAAGTGCATTGAAAACAACTATATTTTAGTCTGCCCAGCAACAAGTTGGCCCACAAAAACACAGCAAAACGCATAAAGCATCAAAAATGCGCATTCAAAAACACACTGCAAAACGTACAAAAAAGGAACCTGCATTGGTGTGAACCAGGCCTGAAATGCATTGAACACGCAGCAAAAACGCATAAAAAAAACACACGTGCTGTGGTTTTGATGCATTTTTTGAGTCACATGACCTATGGAAAACATACCCTAAATGTGGTAAAATTGCTGTGTAATTCCAGGTAAAATCGTGGCAAAATCCTGGCTAAAATTGTGACAAAATTGCAAAAAAAATTCTGGGGAAAATTGTGGCAAAATCCCAAGTAAAATTGCCACAAAATCTCGGGTAAAATCGTGTCAAAATGCGTTTATCGTGCAGAAAGCTGTGCCGCAATTGTGGCAAAAACACCTTTGCCACAATTGCATTTTCAGATTGTGGTGGCTGGGGATGTGATCATATGGAAGCATACAAGCAGCAGCAACTGTTACAAAAATAGGAAGAATAATTCTAATATTTAAAGGAGAAGTATGGGATGGGTGGGTTAATTACCAGATCCCAGATATTACCATCATCACAAATCAGCTGCTGTTTCTTTCCTACCTCCTTTCGTATTTCCTGCAGGTGCACTGCATCTTTCATGTAGCTCCACCTTGCATTTGAACATTTAGAGGGGGTGGATACAACTTCAGCAATCCACCCCTTCTCTGTCTCTCTTTCCCTGGAAGTTGTGGACGGGGCTCCTACAGGGGCACACATCCAAGCAGCAAACTAGAGTGAGCACATGGCTCTGTTTTCATGATGTCACACCAAAAAACAGTTAACAGGCTATCTGGTAAGATGGTAAATGCTGTGCTGTCTAGTTTTGCTGCTTGGACAGAAGTGTAATAGACATGTCCAGATCTGCTCCCCCAGATTTCAGTTGCACCCTGTCTTCCTTCTATAGACACTGAGGCTGCTGAGCTGCTCCTCTCATCCTGTCACTGCGCACACACACAGCACTTAACAGAGCTCCTCCTCCCCACATTGTAATTATTTAATTCTCTTAGCTTGAATTTTCACTGTGTGTATACAGACATAGCCTAGTTTCTCCCATTCTCTATACACCCACAGCCTATCTCTGCCCCCTTTTTATATAGCGAGCTTTACAAATATATTGTTTTCATTATGGTTTTAGGAGAAATATTGAGTACATACTCATGCACAGCACCTTCAGTGACCATACAGTCACTGAAGTGCTGCTGTTGCTGCTGGCTTCTGATTACTGAAGATTGGAACAGCCTGATTAGGAGGAGGAAGGTGGGAAAATAGGTTGGGGAAGAACAGCTGTGATCTGTTAACGAGCAAACAGCCCAGACCCAACATCAGTCAGAAGCAGGGGCGGACTGACCATTTGTAAACTCGGGCACTGCCCGTGGGCCCGGGGTCAGTAGGGGGCCCCATGAGATGCCCCTGGTACCTTTTTATAGGCTTTTTTGAGTTTGGGCAAGGACACAGGGGCCCCATGATCCCCTATTGCCTGGGGGCCCCATGAGTTGTCAGTCTGCCCCTGGTCAGAGGAGAGGAAAGGGGGGTGGGGGGTGGATCCTGATACAACAGAGAAGACTGTAGCCCATCCCACGGGTATTTAACTCAGTTTTCACCAAAATGGGGCACTTTTAAGAGGTCAATAAAGATTTTTAATTTTTAGCAGCTCACATAGAACAGGTGTAAGCTAAAAAAAAAGGAAACCTATACTTCCCTTTTAATTCCAGTAGACAACAGTGGATATACAATCTAATTCTGGGCATGTGGCCATATTCATTCTGGGATTAAACACAGAATGTCAGGTCAATTTGTTCCTATTCTGTTGTGACTGGAATGTGAGTGACCACATGTGAGGATAGCAGTGGCGGCTGGGGAATGTGTGGATGTGTTTTCTGTTGAAGTGGGCAAGTACACATTCAACATGCACAGGCCTAATGTACCTGCCCAAATGCAATGCAATTCCCAAAGTTTGATGGGAAGTGTAGTTTCCTGAGAGGAGAGGTTATGATGTATTCCCAAGCTGTTACTCTTCCTCCTTGGCAGAGCAGATGGTGTTATCTTTTGAATTACAGAGATGACTTCTTGAAAATTCAATTAGACATTTCTCTTCAATGGTAAGGAATTTCACAAATGTATTAACTGTTTTGTGTAGGGTGGTGTACTAATGGGTGATTTTTTTGCCTATCCCGGAGATCTTCTTTAAGCTTTAGCATGACAACCAAATAAATATTTCAGATATCCTTTATCAATGTGTAATCATTGTTTGAATTATCAAATAGTTGGGATAGAATTTGAAGTAATCATCTGTACATCATTAAGCAATTGTTGGCCTGAAAAACACCAATGTATTTGGTTGTTTTCAGATCTGGGAAGTATCATCTGCTAATGAGTATAAGTCTATTGATGTAGCACAGTCTTTCCAAAGCAAGAATGAATCACAGTTTCTACTCAAATGCTGTTCTTGGGCTAACGATTGTTCCAGAATTATGGTGACTGCCCGGAATTGCCTATATGTAAGTGTGATTTCTATTTTATATTGCATATAGTAAAAATGTATGTTTTGAAAACTCATTGAGAGCATAATAAGTGTTTTTCTAAAGTGACCTATGTGTTTATGTTGGATAGTGTGTCTTTGTGTCATTTACAGTTGTGGCCAAAATTATTCAACCCCCACTGAAATTGAGTGTTTTGGCCAGTTTGACATTGCTTTTGATCATTCAGTCATCTTGCTTACATTTACATTAAAGAGGCACTTGTAGGTCAGACAAATATAACATAACAGTTATAATGAAATAACCACAAATGTCTTTTCTGTGCTCACAGCATTATCAGTTTTATTCAACCCCCAAGTGACATTCAATCTTAGTACTTAGTACAGCATCCTTTTACAGTTATAACAGCTTTTAAACGTGAAGCATAGCTTGACACAAGTGTCTTGCAGCGATCTACGGGTATCTTCGCCCATTCTTCATGGGCAAAGGCCTCCAGTTCAGTCACATTCTTAGGCTTGCGCACTGCAACTGCTTTCTTTAAGTCCCACCAGAGGTTCTCAATCGGATTTAAGTCTGGTGACTGCGATGGCCACTCCAAAATGTTCCAGCCTTTCCTCTGCAACCATGCTCTAGTGGACTTGGAGGTATGCTTGGGATCATTGTCCTGTTGAAAGGTCCAACGTCTCCCAAGCCTCAGGTGTGTGACGGACTGCATCACGTTTCCATCCAATATCTCCTGGTACTGAAGAGAATTCATGGTACCTTGCACACGCTGAAGCTTCCCTGTACCTGCAGAAGCAAAACAGCCCCAAAGCATGATTGACCCTCCACCATGCTTCACAGTAGGCAAGGTGTTCTTTTCATCATAGGCCTTGTTCTTCCTCCTCCAAACATAGCGTTGATCCATGGGCCCAAACAGTTCTAATTTTGTTTCATCAGTCCACAGAACACTATCCCACAACTTTTGTGGTTTGTCCACATGGCTTTTGGCATACTGCAGTCGACTCTTCTTATTCTTTGGAGACAGCAAGGGGGTACGCCTGGGAGTTCTGGCACGGAGGCCTTCATTACGCAGTGTGCGTCTTATTGTCTGGGCTGAAACTTCTGTACCCACATCTGACAAATCTTTTCTCAGTTCCTCAGCAGTCACACGGGGACTTCTCTCCACTCTACGCTTCAGGTAGCGCACAGCAGTCGAAGTCAGCATCTTCTTTCTGCCACGACCAGGTAGCGTTTCAACAGTGCCCTTTGCCTTGAATTTGCGAATGATGCTTCCTAAGGTGTCTCTTGGTATGTTTAACATCTTTGCAATCTTCTTATAGCCATTGCCCTTCCTGTGAAGAGAAATCACCTCTTCTCTTGTCTTCCTGGACCATTCTCTTGCCTTCACCATGTTTGTAACCACACCAGTAAATGTCTAGAAGGAGCTGAGTATCACAGTCATTTTAAAGCTGCCTAATTGGTGCTTATTATGCTTGATTGCTGCTCGGTGACATCCACAGGTGTTTTCAATACCTGATGGAAAGCACCTGTATGAACCTCTGTTCTTCAGAGTGGTAGTCTTTAAGGGGTTGAATAATTGTGGCAATGAAGAAACCACATAAGAACCATTTACTACTGTATTACATAAACAATTGATGTCATTTTAGTTGCATTTGGGTAGTTACAACGTCCTTGTAGGATTTGATTCTGAATACAATTCCAAATGTACACTATAGTCCCTAAACCCCTTTACAGCATTGGGGGTTGAATAATTTTGGCCACAACTGTATGTTTGCAAAAGACTTGATAATTTGTTACCAGAACTAACAACACTTTCATCTACTGCAGATATTTGATGTTGAAAGCAGTGACCTTGTGTCTGAACTTGAGGCATGCCACCAGAGCATTACTATTTTGTACTGTGATTTCTGCACATCCAATCAGATTGTAGCAATGGCCTTGTCACACTATGTTGTTCAGGTAAACTGATTATAGTGTAAAGTTAGAGCATTTATAGGGTTATTGAGAAATATGTTTTCTGCTAAAGCACCAGAATGCAAGCCTGGGAATTGTAAAGGTCTGTAGCAGATTGGATGCATTCCTACCACAGGATGGGGTATTTCAAACCTCTCGGTCTGATTATAGTGTTGGCATATACAGTATTTTTTTTTTGTTTCTGATCAGCAGATTAAAATATTTACTAACAATTGTTTTGTGTGGGGTTTACCTGATGGGAAACAATTGACTGGATTGTTTAGGCAGGCGCTAACACTATTCAACAGTACATTTTATCAATATATCAGATCTAAAACAAAACACGACAGTGTGTTATCAGCACTGATTGTCTTCATCCTTTAAAGTAATTATGTGATTTTCAAATTCCTAAATATACTCACATTATTGTATTAGAATTTTAGAATACCCATTAGGGAACTCTGTATTTTTGTGCAGCCTCATTCAACCTCCCTGCTAAACATCTGTCAAGATACTGCATCAGCCACTCGGGGAGTGCATTGTTTTGAATGAATTGAGCAATTCATATACTCGCATTGTAGGAAGAAGTAGTAAAGCACAACCAAGGCAGAGAACTGCAAAGTAGAAAGCAAAGTCATCTATTTGAACATAACAATATACACTATACATAGAATACATAGATACAATCATTTATTAACCTTAAAGGGTATTTCAACTTTTGCTGAATCCAGTCTTCGAAAATCCCATAATATATGTTTGTTATGTGTTCCCATTCACATGGCATGCCTAAATATGACATTAGATGTTACTTAGGAGCAGGATTCTTTACAGAATTTAAAAGCGAGTCTGTCCCAAGGGACTGGCTCAGTTCCCCTCATTAACATACAATCACAGAAATCAAGCTTCTAAATCTTTAACCTTTCATTAGGACAGACAGTGTTCAAATCTATTTTACAACTGATAATGTGATCTGCCAGCACAGTACAGGCAGGGTTAATTATTTTAAACATTAAGCCCCCATAAACATTACATACAAAGGAGAAGTAGGCAGGATTTTTAAGTCCCAGAGTTTTCAGTAAAAACCATGTGAAAAGGCAAGCAGCAATTTTTAAATATTTATTTATAAGTTATGCTATATGAATATGAACATGTAACACACATAAAGTAGGCGTTATCCCAGTTTGGCTGAAAAAGTGAAAATATACTTTAACTCACATTGCAAAGATTCACAAAAACAATAGCAATAACATTATTTCCTTTAATAAGGTTAAGTTATCAATTTATATTACTAAAAAGAATGAAAAAGACTACTTCCTAAGAACACCAATGGGCAGCCATTTCTTGGATACAGTGGGGAAAATAATGATTTGATCCCCTGCAGATTTTGTAGGTTTGCCCACTTACAAATAAATCAAGGGTCTATAATTTTTATCATAGGTGTATTTTAAATGATAGAGACAGAATATCAGCCAAAAATCCAGAAAAAAAAAGTATTCAATCCCCTACCAACCAACAATAATTCTGGCTCCCACAGACTGACTGTGCTCATGTGGCACACAGATTAGTCCTGTCAATTTAAGAAGGTGCTCCTAACGACAGCGCGTTATGTGTATAAAAGACCCTGTCCACAGAATCTTTCTTCCATTCAAACCTCACCACCATGGGTAAGACCAAAGAGCTGTCAAAGGATGCTAGGGACAACATTGTAGACCTGCCAAGGCTGGAATGGGCTACAAGACCGTCAGCAAGAAGCTTGGTGAGAAGGAGACAACTGGTGGAGCGATTATTTGCAAGAAGATATAGAAAATAACCATCAAATGCCCTCAGTCTGGAGATCCATGCAAGGTTTCACATCATGGGGTAAGGATGATCATGAGAAAAGAGAGGTATTAGCCCAGAACTACACGGGAGGAGCTTCTGAGTGATCTCAAGGCAGCTGGGACCACAGTCACAAAAAAAACCATTGGTAACACAATACACTGCCATGGATTGAAATCCTGCAGTGCCCGCAAGGTCCCCCTCCACAAGAAGGCACATGTATAGGCCTATCTGAAGTTTGCCAATGAACATCTAAATGATTCAGAGAAGGATTGGGAGAAAGTGCTGTGGTCAGATGAGACCAAAATTGAGAACTTTAGCATTAACTCGACTCGCCATGTTTGGAGGAAGAAAAATACTGACTATGATCCTAAGAACACCATCCCTACAGCAAGCACAGAGGTGGAAACATTATTCTTTGGGGCTGTTTCTCGTCTAAAGGGGACAGGCTGACTTTGCCACATTGAGGAGGGTCAATGGACAAAGCCATATATTGTAAAATCTTGGATGAGAACCTTCTTTCCTCAGCCAGAGTACTGCAGATAGGACGTGGATGGGTCTTCTAGCATGACAATGACCCAAAACATACCACCAAGGCAAAAAAGAGTGGTTTTAGTTGATACTCTGTCTCTATCGTTTAAAATACACCTATGATAAAACATTTTAGCCCCTTCATTTCTTTGTAAGTGGGCAAACTTACAAACTCTGCAGGGGATCAAATAATTATTTTCCCCACTGTATGTAAACATATTGATAGCAGGCTGCATCAACAGTATGTTAAATGCTGTAGGTATTGAGATCACAAAGGAGGCTGGATAATTTGGTGATTAATTCCCCAAGACAGATCTCTAGTTACAGACTAGCAGATACACTTGAATTGTAAATTGTAAATGTAAAGTAGGTGAGAACCTTTAAGAGTGCTATTTGTAGACAACCCGGAAATACAAACAATGCAGCTTTTTTCCCATGATAGTTAAGTCTTACATTTTCAGATGTATTTACTAAAATATTTGTAATTTGCTTTGCGTCTGGTGTAACCCAGAAAAATCCTAAAGTGCAATATTTGACGCATTTGTAAACAAACGTACTTTTTCTTTTCAGCTATGGAATATAGACTCCAACACAAAAAATAGCAGAATTCAATGCACATTTAAGTTGGGTTCATTGTGTTCAATTTTCCAGTGAAGGGTCTTCATTCTTAACCTGTTCAGATGACCAGACTGTGAAGGTAAATCATTGTGTACAAGCAGAATGGTGTTGGTTATATTTCTTTGCTAATTTCTTCTAGTGTTCTCTAGAATTGTTACATTGTATCTGTTGTGACAAAGACATGTACAGTGAGGAACAGAAGTATTTGAACACCCTGCGATTTTGCAAGTTTTCCCACTTAGAAATCATGGAGGGGTCTGAAATTCACATTGTAGGTGCATTCCCACTCCGAGAGACAGAATTAAAAAAAAAATTCATGAAATCACATTGTATGATTTTTAAAGAATTTATTTGTCTTTCACTGCTGAACATAAGTATTTGAACACCTAAGAAACAGCAAGAATTCTGGCTCTCAAAGACCTGTTACTGTGCCTATAAAAAGTCCACCTCTACTCCACTCATTAATCTAACTTAGTAGCACCTGTCTGAGCTCTTTAAAGACACCTGTCCACCCCACAGTCAGTCAGACGCCAACTATTACCATGGGCAAGACCAAAGAGCTGTTAAAGACGAGAGACAAAATTGTGGACCTCCACAAGGCTGGAAAGGGCTACGGGGCAGTTTCCAAGCAACTTGGTGAAAATAGATCAACTGTTGGAGCAATTGTTAAAAAATGGAAGAGGCTAAAGACGACTGTCAGTCTCCCTCGGACTGGGGCTCCATGCAAGATCTCACCTCGTGGGGTATCACTGATGATAAGAAAGGTGAGGAATCAGCCCAGAACTACAAGGGAGGAGCTGGTCAATGACATTAAGAGAGCTGGGACCACAGTTTCAAAGGTCACTGTCGGTAGAACACTACACCGTTATGGTTTCAAATCATGCATTGCACGGAAGGTTCCCCTGCTCAAGTCATCACATGTCCAGGCCCGTCTGAAGTTTGCCAATGACCATCTGGATGATCCAGAGGAGACATGGGAGAAAGTCATGTCAGATGAGACCAAAGTAGAACTTTTTGGTCTAAACTTCGCTCGTTGTGTTTGGAGGAAAAAGGATGAGTTGCATCCCAAGAACACCATCCCTACTGTGAAGCATCGGGGTCGTAACATCGTGCTTTGGGGGTGCTTTTCTGTGAATGGGATAGGACGACTGCACGGTATTAAGGAGAGGATGAATGGGGCCATTTATTGTGAGATTTTGAGCAACAACCTCCTTCCCTCAGTCCAGAGCATTGAAGATGGGTCATGGCTGGGTTTTCCAACATGACAATGACCCGAAGCATACAGCCATGATAACCAAGGAGTGGCTCCATAAGAAGCATATCAAGGTTCTGGAGTGGCCTAGCCAGTCTCCAGACCTAAATCCAATAGAGCACCTTTGGAAGGAGCTGAAACTCCGTGTTTCACCTCTGTAATTGCAAACAAAGGCTTCTGTACCAAATATTAACACTGATTTTCTCAGGTGTTCAAATACTTATGTTCAGCAGTGCAAGACAAATTCTTTACAAATCATACAATGTGATTTCCTGAATTTTTTTTTTTTTAAATTCTGTCTCTCAGAGTGGGAATGCACCTACAATGTGAATTCCAGACCCCTCCATGATTTCTAAGTGGGAGAACTTGCAAAATCGCAGGGTGTTCAAATACTTCTGTTCCTCACTGTATTTCCTGTGCTCTTTGCCTCTGTCTAGTGGCCATAGTGCAGTTTTTTCACTACTACCCATAAGAAAAGAACATTTGTTCAGAAAAGAAAAAGGCCTAATAAACATTTATTTTTGCGCAGTTTAGAACAGAAAGAATGTACATGCAGATTAGCTAGATAAATAGCTGTGCATTTTTTTTTTTTAAGTAGACCTACATGTGTATGGCCAGCTTAAAGCCAGCCATTAATGGACCAATGCACGTATGGCAGGCTGGCTGTACAGAAGTCCATTTGCCACTCGCCTTCTGTGCAACCAGTCTATCGGTATTTTTTCTGTTCGATTATCGCCACAGACTGTAGCCAGCAGCGCAGACCAGTGTCTTTTGACATCTGGGATCTCTCCCTGCTGTCAGAATACAGTGACTTAGCGGGAAGCATTCCCCCATCCACCATCGTATGTGTGGATGAGGGAATAGGGTCAGTTTGTTTTTCTTTCAACCACTGGTTGAATGGAAAAAAAGTAATTCTTTGTCCTGCTTAAGCCTGGCTTTAGCCCTAAGGCACTCCATGCAGAGCAATCTTATCTTTTATTTAAAGGTACTTTTATTAAGCAGTTGGTTATCATGTGGCCATACATACTTTGGCAAAGATGGTTTCTTATTTAAAATATGAGAAAACAGACATTTGATAATAAATCAATGTGATGAAAAATGTATACTGTGCATTGTTTGACAAAGGTTAATGTTGGTACGTGTTTTTGAGGAAGGAGTCATTATAAAAAAAAATGTTGCTTAGACCTGCATGGTCAAAACATGTCTGCTTTAAAACGGTAATATGACCTTAAAAATGTATATTGTTTAAATGTACTGTACATTTAATATGAAAAGATGGACAACCTTTTAGAATTAATTCTTCTGTTAAGAGAAATATAACAAAATCATGTTCTGTTTTCTCCTTTGCATTTTTTTTTTGTAGAATTTTAAGGGAATGTTATTATCAACATTACTATTAAAGTGGAACTTTAATCAGAAAATTTAATTCTTGCTACATCACTTCAGGCTGGCCCCTTTTCCAAGTATAGCTATGTAAAACATTAAAAAGTGCCTATGCTGCTTAAACTCTTGTCATACACTGTCTCACCCTGCTCTACACATGCTCAGTTGCTGACAGCCTAAAGATTACTGCTGCTTGGGGGCTCAGGGCTTTAGCAAAATGGCAGCCTCCAGCAAGTAGAAACAAGAAACAATGTTGGAGGCAATTAACAGCACACACTAATTTTGGTGGCATAATTAATAATGTGGAATGTATGTTCCTTGCTAAGGAACATTATTTTTTTTATAAAAGTTGTTATGGTTAAAGTTCCACCTTAACATGTTTTTGTATTTACTATATACTGTATAATCTGATGAGGTAGAGGAGCTATTCTGAAACATAATTACTACAATCTCCTCCTTTCTTTCTCTTACATACAAAAAATAATTTTTAAAAAAATGTAGGCTGTAAAGTCATTTCATACAGCCACAAATTCGATTTGCTGCCTATTTTGGAAATTGAAAGTGATTTGTGATACTGCATACCTTCTAACTTTATGAGATAAAAAAGAAAAGCAGTATTAAGTACAAAGCATGTAGGCAAAGTTTACTCCCCTGCCATGCCCCATTTATGCAGAAATATTAGAATGAATGCACCAAAAATTATTTGGTTTAACCCACATTTGCATTTTATTATAAAGGGCTGTACACCAGACCAAAAAAGGGACAACTGGGGTAAAAGATGTTCTGTCCCTCTAACAGCTGCTACTACTACTACTACTACTACTACTACTACTACTACATGTACACTACTATTAATCCTTTGAAATGTTATGACCATACACTGGTAGATTTTTGAACACAAATATTGTCTATACATTTAATAATGCTAACAGTGACTTGATGAACCTTGTTTGAAAAAAAAATTGCTTGCTTTTATTGTTCAATTTTGGTATAAATAGAATTTCCCAAATGAAAACCATATACTATTAAAAATTCAATTCAAGAAAAACTTTCCATCCTGCTTCAAATATTCTAGTCACTAAAGTTAAAAATGAATGTCATTTTGACCCACTTTAAAACAAATGTCTGTTATTGTGTGGCCAGCTTTAGGGTTGCAATGTTTGCTGGATTGCATTTGTAGCACACTGATTTGTTTCATGTGTTGCATGTAATTGCTCTGATTTCTATATCTTAGCAACTCTGGGAATTGCAAGCTGGAAGTGTTTAGATATCTTTTTGCAATCCACTGGTTTAATTGCACTTCTTCACTGAGCAACTTAAGCTGTTCCGGGTTGCAGGAAGGAAAATCTCTTGATTCCCCCATCAACACAGTCAGTGTTGATGGAGGAATCCCTCCTGCAGAACCATTGTGTTCTCACACAAGTTGATTGATCAACTTGGGTACATTCAGCCTGCCCATACATGGTTTGATTCTTGGCTACTCCCTGCTGAACTGGCCAAGATTCGAACTATCTATGGGTGGCTTTAGAGACCATTACCATGGCCGCTCGATCTAAAAGCCAACAAATGGATTAAGTTCCAAGATACATTTTTTTTTCAATTTTCTTAAATGAAGAAAACCATTCATAATTGTAGTTTAAAACTTGCAAAAAAAGGCCATGTGTGTTCCTGGCAGAAGTTATGTTAACTTCTCTCTGAGTGGAAAAGATTTAAGGTGTACAAATATTTGTATAAAGCTTGTTTTGCATTGAGCAGATTCCTTGTTATTTTTTTTGTCCTACTGGTTTCTATACCCATAGGTATAGACTGCACAGCAAGTAATAAGGATATATTTTTATAAGCATCCATTATTAATTATTTTATTTTTACACCTAAATAAAATAGCTTTGGGAGACGAGTAAAGTGTGCAAGCCCTCAGGCATCGTCCTAAAGCATGAATTTTGTAATTTTGATGTGGCATTCACTGGAGATCAAGTGAACGTTCTGGCATCTGACAAGGAAGATTGCTTACTGGTGAGTATTTTCTTCATAGCAATAATGTATATGGTTTCACAGTACCTGTTTTTTTTACATGCAGGTATATATAGTTATAGAATACAGTTAAGATCCCTCACATGATCTCTGTTTAAAAGGAGGATCAGTCTGAGAAATGTTCCGATACAACAAGATTGCCTCTTACCTTAGGAATAAACTTAAAAGGACCTCCCGCTCTCTATCTTTATCTGGTGAAAGGACGTGTTTCCATACTATATGGTCACTTAATATTAGCAATGAGCTTCTTTATTTGCTTTCTTTTTGGCTGTCAAATACACCACTGAAAGTGTTTTGATATATCTGTTTGAAAAATATATAAAAAATACCCGTTGACCATGTAAAAAATATAGAGCTCTCCTGTGTCTTGGGCACACTTCCTATGTTATAATCGCTAATTTGTCCTAGTAATCTTCAGACTACAGAATGATTATTCTCTATGTTATAGAGCAGGAGTCTCCAACTGTCTAAACAAAGAGCCAGTTTACTGTCCTTCAGATTTTAGGGGGGCCGGACTGTGCTCAGTGGGAATAAACAATGTCCGATCTTTGGTATTAGGAGGAATAGTGCTTCTTCGTTGATGTCAGTGGGAGAAATGGTGCCCCGTCATTGGTATCAGTGGGAGGAATTATGCCCCATGGTTGGTGCCAATGGGAAGAATCATGCCCCATCGTTGGTGTCAGTGGGAGGAATTATGTCCCATTGTTGGTATATGTGGCAAAAATAAAGCCCCAGTTTGCAGTTTGTTGTAGAGAATAATATCGGGGGTTGGTTTGAGTAGCTTAGCAAGAGACCTGGATAGGGCTGACTTCATTCGGTCCACAAAAGTGTTGTGATGTTCTGTATAGATTTTTTAGTTTAACATGACATACATTTTAGGGCATGTTAGAGCATTATTTATAAATGTTTTCACACAACTTTTAAGTTGAACTCATGGATTTTTTATATTGAATCTAATTACAACATTTTGTGTATCTTGGGAAAAAATGTGTGAATCTTTTCTATAAACGTTTATGAATTGACCTCTAAGTTATCAGTTAAAGCGGAGTTACAGCTGAAAAAAAAATTAAAGTCAGCAGCTACAAAAACTGTAGCTGCTGACTTTACAATACAGACACTTACCTGTCTCTTGGTCCAGCGGTGTCCTCACCACGGCTGGTTTCAACGGCCGTCTTCTCTCCCCGGCGTCGGCATCTTCAGTGTGGGCACCCGGCTGTGACAGTTTGCGGCCTGGTGCCCACTGTGCATGCGCGAGAAGTGTTGCGCTTTGTGAATGGCCCCGTAGTTTTATGGGACCTGTCATGTGCCCCAGAAGACTACAGGGAGAGAGGGGGGGAGGACAACTTCCACTCTTGATCGCATCAGACGTGGGAGCGGGTACCTGTCAAATTAGGGTACCCGCTCCCCAAAAGGTGCCAATCCTTAATGGGGAGCTGGGGACAAAGGCTTAAAGCGGAACTTCCCCTTTTGGGTGGAGCTTCGTTTTAATCCACTGTAACTACCTCTGTATTTTATTTGCTTAAGATGTAGCATAGATATCTACTGTGTGTGTGTCAGTAATGGTCTTGTATTGGTCTCTCTGCTGTTGCCTGTAGAGCTGTGTTTGCTTCAGTGGAAAAGACTGATTTTAATATTGGAAGCAAGGAGGACCAATGACATGCCTATACTTAGTTTATCCCTGTGTGAACTACTGTTTGTTCGCATACTCATAACTATAAAAACTGTCTAGGGAAATTTTCTTTAAGGCATCTTCATATTACTTTTTTAAGCAGTGAATAAAGCGGTAAATAGTATTATAGCAGAAAAGGGATCACTGACAGATGTTTCCTCTTGTTGTCAGTGCAACCAGCCTAGCTGCTCTGTTATAACAAGGACTTTTATTCTCTTTAAATTCAAAATTTGAATTTTAAATTATTTCTATGAATTCCTGGAAGTTGGAAGGTTGCAGTCAGATAATCATATTGTTAAAGCACTTTGATAAGTGAAAAGTGTTTAAAGGGATGATGGGCGGGAGGATAATTTTCTACTTTAACTATACCTTACAGTCTACATTTATATGTATGCATGCAATATGTGTTTTCTAAATATACTTTTATTGAAAATATTCCTATCAATCTTATGATGTTCATTTGCCTTTTATGTACAAAGGTAGTTTAGGAGTGTTTTTAAACCTGAAAATATGGTATGAGGTGTATTTTTATGTTTGATCAACTGCTCTTAAACTATATACAGCACGTAAAATAAGTAGTGAACACAGCACAAGTTTTCTCAGCAAATATATTTCTAAAGGTGCTATTGACATAAAATTTTCACCACATATTGGGAACAACCCATGCAATCCATACATACAAAGAAACCAAAACAAATAAGTTCACAAATTAAGTTATATGTAATAAAATGAAATGACACAGGGAACAAACACATGAAGAAAAGGAGGTACAAAAAGGCATGGAAAACCAGGACACCAGCTGAAATCTATCAGTAAATTGAAAGCAATCCTGCCCCTTGACAGTGCAAATTAATATCAGCTGCTTCAGTCTCAACTGATGGCCTATAAAAAGGTGTCTCATTACCAAAGTATCAAACAAGAAACATCTTATGATGGGTAAAAGCAAAGAGCTCTCTCAAGACCTTTGCAACCTTATTGTTGCAAAACGTACTGATGGCATTGTTACAGAAGGATCTCTAAACTTCTTAATGTTCCAGTGAGCAATGGTGGGGCCATAATCCGAAAGTGGAAAGAACATCATTTCATCATAAACCGGCCACGACCAGGTGCTCCTTGCAAGATTTCTGATGGGAGTGAAAAGAATTATCAGAAGAGATGTCCAATAGCCAAGGACCTCTTGTTGAGAGCTTCAGAAAGACCAGGAATTGGCAGGTACAATTGTTTCAAAGAAAACAAGTAATGCACTCAACCACCATGGCCTGTTTGCACCACGCAAGACTCCATTGCTGAAGAAAAAGCATGTTGAAGCTCGTTTAAAGTTTACTGCACAACATTTAGACAAGCCTGTGAAATACTGAGAAAATATAGTCTGGTCAGATGAGACCGAAATGTTACGGTTTGGATGCCATATTACACACCATGTTTGAAGGCCATATGGCACTGCACATCACCCCCAAAAGCACCATACCAACAGTGAAGTTTGGAGGTCAGAACATCATGGTGTGGGGCTGTTTTTCAGGATAGAGTACTGACAACATTGCAGCAAGACAATGATCCCAAGCACAAAGCCAAGGAAACTCACAATTGGTTTCAAAGAAAGAGAAAATAAAATGCTAGAATGGCCCAGTAAATTACCTGAATTGAATCCAATAGAAAATCTATGGAAATAACTAAAGAGTTCATAGAAGAGGCCCACGGAACCTTCAAGATTTGAAGATTGTTTGTGTGGAAAAATGGGCCAAAATCACACCTGAGCACTACATGCGACTAGTTTTTCCATAGAGCAGGTGTCTTGAAGCTGTCATTACCAACAATGAAATGTGTACAAAGTATTAAAGCAGAGTTCCACTCAAAATTGGAAGCTCCACTTGTTTACCTCCTCCCCCCCCCCCACTGCCATATTTGGCACCTCTTGATTTTGACAGGTACCCACTCCCACTTTCCGGCGAAGTGAGCCAGATGTTCGGCCCCCTCCTTCCTCCTCACAGGTCCCAGAAGACTGCCGGACCAATCCGAATGCACAGCGCAACTTTTGCATGCACAATGGGCACCCAGCTGTGAAGCCGCAAGCTGTCACAGCCTGGTGCCCACAGTTGTGATGCCGGCGCAGAGGAGAGAAGAGTCAGAGAAGGGACAGCACGGGTGAGCACATCGTTGGACTCTGGGACAGGTGAGTGTGTGTTTATTAAAAGTCAGCAGTGAAATTTCATGTCAATAGTACCTTTAAAATTTATTTACTGAGAAAAATGGTGACATGTTCAGTACTTATTTTACTCGCTTTCCATGCCTTTTTGCACCTTCCTTTCATCATGTGTTCAATACTTTTTCCCTGTGTCATTCCTTGTTATTACACAAAACTTAATTTCTGAACTTATTTGTTTTGTTTTCTTTGTATGTATGAACTGCATGGGTTGTTACCGAAGTGGTGAAAATTTCATGTCCATAGCACCTTTAGAAATATATTTACTGAGAAAAATGGTGACGTGCTTAATACTTGCTTTACCCTATGTGCGTGTGTGTGTGTATAAATGTGTGTGAGTATGTGTGTGTGTATGTATATGTGTATATATATATATATATATAATTTTGCATCCAGAAAGTATTTACAGTGCTTAACTTTTGCCACATTTTGTTATGTTACAGCCTTATTCCAAAATGAATTAAATTCATTTTTTCCTCAACATTCTACAAACAATACCCCATAATGACAATGTGAAAGAAGTTTGTTTTGAAATCTTTGCAATTTATTAAAAATAAAAAATGAAAAAAACACATGTACATAAGTATTCACAGCTTTGTTCAATACTTTGTTGAAGTAACTTTAGCACCAATTACAGCCTCAGGTTGTTTTGAGTATGATGCTACAAGCTTGGCACACCAATTTTTGGCCAATTTCCCCAATTCTTCTTTGCAGTACCTCTCAAGCTTCATCAGGTTGGATGGGGAGCGTCTGTGCACAGGCATTTTCAGATCTTTCCTGAGATGTTCAATCGGGTTCAAGTCTGGGCTCTGGCTGGAACACTCCAGGACACTCACAGAGTTGCATGTTTTGTTATGTGGGCTGTGTGCTTAGGGTCGTTGTCCTGTCGAAAGATGAACCGTCTAAGGTCCAGAGCGCCCCAGTCTAAGGTCCAGAGCGCTCTGGAACAGGTTTTCATCAAAGATGGTTCTGTACATTGCTGCATTCATCTTTCCTTCTATCCTAACTAGTCTCCCACTTCCTGCTGCTGAAAAACATCCCCACAGCATGATGCTGCCACCACCATGCTTCACTGTAGGGATGGTATTGGCCAGGTGGTGAGCGGTGCCAGGTTTCCTCCAGACATGACGCTTGGCATTCAGGCCAAAGAGTTCAGTCTTTGTTTCACCAGACCAGAGAATTTTGTTTCTCATGGTCTGAGAGTCCCTCCAGATGGGCTGCCATTTGCCTTTTACTGAGGAGTGGCTTCCGTCTGGCCACTCTACCATACAGGCCTGATTGGTGGAGTGCTGCAGAGATGGTTGCTCTTCTGGAAAATTCGCCGCTCTCCACTGAGAAATGCTGGAGCACTTTCAGAGTGACCATCGGGGTGCTTGGTTACCTCCCTGGCTAAGGCCCTTCTCCCTCGATCGCTCATTATGGCCGGGCAGCCCGCTCTAGGAAGATTCCTGGTAGTTCCAAATGTCTTCCATTTACGGATGATGGAGGCCACTGTGCTCCTTGGGACCTTCAATGCTGCAGAAATGTTTCTGTACCCTTCCCCAGATTTGTGCCTTGATACAATCCTGTCTTGGAGGTCTACAGACAATTCCTTGGACTTCATGGCTTAGTTTGTGCTCTGACATGCACTGTTAACTGTGGGACCTTATATAGACAGGTTTATGCCTTTCCTAATCATGTCCAATCAACTGAATTTACCACAGGTGGACTCCAATCAAGTTGTGGAAACATCTCAAGGATGATCAGTGGGAACAGGATGCACCAGAGCACAATTTTGAGTGTCATGGCAAAGGCTGTGAATACTCATGTACATGTGGTTTTTTGTTTTTTTTTAATAAATTGCAAAGATTTCAAAACGAACTGCTTTCATATTGTTATTATGGGGTATTGTTTGTAGAATGTTGAGGGAAAAATTAATTTAATCCATTTTGGAATAAGGCTGTAACATAACAAAATGTGTCAAAAGTTATATAGGTTATATATATATGTTATGTATATTTATTTGTTTTTATTTTTTAACAAAGAATGAAGTTGCAAGTATATGTATTTTTTTGAATCTTTGCCCATTCTAGTCCCAGCTCACAATATTTTCTTTCAGCTAATTAATGGAAACACTGGAGATGTAGTTCATCAGAGCGGTCGCCAGAAATCTCCTATAACTTGCTGCTGTTTAAGCTATAATAGGCATCTGGCAGCTGTAGGTGGTGATGATGGATCTATCCAGGTATGTTTTTTGTATAAAAATTGTCCGTAACATAGGGTTTGTAAACTGCGTGTGTGTAAAATGCACTGACCCACAGTAACCAAAATACATGACTTTATAAAGTCAATGTAAACACAGTGCTAAATTACTGGATATCCTAAAAGATTGCCTTTTTAAAATAATGTTCTCACATTTTGCAGCATTTAAATCAGCAATTCCAACCTCCTGCATCCCTTTGAATGATGAATGCATGCACTCCACGAACTGCTGTGCATAATTTCTTCATTGTGCACTTTCTGATGAACATGGCTATGAATTGTGTGTTAGCATGGCCAGTTATAGTGACAATAAAAGGAAAATATGGTGCTATTAACCACTTGCCCTCCAGAAGGTTTACTCCCTGTAATGACCAGGCCATTTTTTACTATTCGGCACTTCGCTATTTCAACTGGTAATTGTGCGGTCATGCAATGCTATACCCAAATGAAATTTATGTTCTTTTTTCACACAAATAGAGCTTTTTTTGGTGGAATTTGATCACCAATGGGCTTTTTATTTTTTTGTGATATAAACGAAAAGACCGAAAAGTTGGCAAAAAAAGGCTAACATGTATTCTGCTACATGTCTTTGGAAAACACAATCCCAATACATGTATATTATTTGGTCCGTGTGAAAGTTACAGCATCTACAAACTATGGTATACAGGTGAAACTCGAAAAATTAGAATATCATGCAAAAGGTAATTTATTTCAGTAATGCAACTTAAAAGGTGAAACTAATATATGATCCAAATTAAAAGGTATGCGCTAACCTTTTAATTTGGATTATTGTTGCCAAAATTTATTTTGGGTGGGATATGCTGCTGACACTTTGGTGTTTTTTGTAAGTGGCGCTTTTTTCTTCTTTTTTAATTTGGTATTGGTTAAAACTAATATATGAGACTGATTACACGCAAATCAAGATAGTTCAAGCAGTGATTTGTCATAATTGTGATGATTATGGCTTACAGCTCATGAAAACCCCAAATCCACAATCTCAGAAAATTAGAATATTACATGCAATCAATAAAACAAGGATTGTACATTGTAAAGCCCATCTGCGGAAGGAAGCATTAAGTGCTCCAAAATCTCCTGGTAAACGGCTGTGTTGACCCTGGACTTAATGAAGCACAGTGGACCAACAACAGCAGATGACATGGTTCCCCACCAAGTGACTCTCGATCTCTCCTCTGCCCTTAAAGCATCAGATCACACCAAGATCGGTGTGATCAGATTCTCTCCCAATTTTAAAATGGCGCTGTTTATATCTGGTGAAATGGAAATGATGAAATGCTCATAGCTTCTGGTTTCTTAAACCATAGAGATAATTGGAGGCATTCCAGTCTTCGATCAGCTCTATTGTCAGCCAGTGGAACTGCCGGCTGCATTTTTACAGCTCTCCAAGAACAGAAGCAAAGCTTTTATGTATCAGATTGATAAAAGCTTTGCTGTCATTGTGATTGTGTGATTGCACAGCGATCACATGATCACCGGGTCCCGATTACCGGGATTCTCATTCCGATGTTACCGGTGGACACAGACGTGGGGGGAAGAGGGTTGCGCGCTCACTTGGGCAGACAGCACCCCCCTGTGCTGGCAAAGCACCAGCGTCGTACGTGTAATTTGCTGGTCCTGTAGCTTGTGCCCATCTGCAGCTACATGACCAAAAGTGGCTAATTAGCACATATTTGTTTTGTTTTGCATGCTTGCTTCTCCATATTTTCATTTTTGTGATTAATAAAGATATTTTGCAGACTCACATCTAGAGGGAGTTCTGTATATTATTCAGCTTGAACAGAGATGTGATATCAGCCTTATATGATGTTATTTTCAGCAAAGTGACCAACTCTTGTTTTTCAGAGAGTGAAGAGGGAATAGGATTGCTCATAAGTGGGCAACCTCTCATCTTTTTATATTTGTATCACTTTTATTTATAACTAGACCCCTGTGCCTTGCACTGTGAAGCAGCAAGCTAGAATAATTAACAAATGAATATGTAATTCCCATCTATACTTAGAAACCAGGTTTTTATAACAGTAACACAATGATAACATTATTTGGGTCAGGCTTATCCTTTATCTTTATTTATCAAACATAACTGAAAAGACTATACATTCATTTTAAATAGACAAGTTTCACACATTTTACACAGTTCTCTACAGCTGTCAATCACTAGCCTTGTCACAGTATTTTCCTGCATTGCAGTTTTCTTATTTATAGATTGCAAGAGGAAGGATTAAGAAAAAAGGCAAACAAGTATTTTATTTTAAAAATTGCTGTGGCATATGATATACAGTGATTTGGCAAACAAAGCGTCATTGGTTTAAAATGATATCTGCTTTAATGGTTAGAGTTAAGCAGGCCATGTACAGTTCATTTCATTCAGCTGAACCAAAAAAAAAAAAAATGATTCCTCCCATCTACTCAAACATGGTGAATGGAGAAATCCCCCACTGGGACATTGTATTCTAACAGCTGGACCTGCTGTTGCCAGAATACGCTGATCTGTGGCTGCGGCTAATAGGCTGTAGCCACTGACAAAAGTTTTCCAGCATGTTCCTTTGACAGAAGGTAATCAAACGATCAACTTCTGTCGAGCAAGGATGGCCACATGCTGATGAGAAATTCAAGGGATCCTTGCATTTTATAAGCAAAGTGATGTACTGTACAAATGTGCTCAGTGCTCATCCAGCTTTAGGACTCTAATGCAAGGAGAAACATAATAGAATGAAATGAAAGTTCTGTTAAAAAAAAAAAAAGCTGGGAGGAGGGCCCAATCAATTATTGAACTCTCTGTTCTGTTAAGCAGAGAGAACTCCATAGGTTACACTTGCTAGACACTGCAGCCAATTTTTTGCATGGGGGTAGGCAGCAGTTCTTGGAGCAAAGAGCAGTGTAATGGAGACCAGATAGCGATATGCACTCTCTGTTATATAAATGAGGACCTTAGTGGAACTACTTTATTTTTAGGTTTTCATTGCTATTCGTTCCTAACCCCGGAAACCACTAAGCAACTCATTCACTCCCTCATTATATCACGCCTCGACTACTTTAACTCTCTCCTCATTGGCTTACCTCACCGCAGCCTATCCCCGCTTCAGTCTATCTTGAATGCTGCGGCCAGACTCATCCACCTTACTAACCGCTCCGTATCCGCCATCCCTCTCTGCCAATCCCTCCACTGGCTTCCGATTGCCCAACGGATAAAATTCAAAATACGAACATTTACGTATAAAGCTGTTCATAATACTACCCCAAACTACATCACCGATCTGGTATCCAAATACCACCCAAAACGTACTCTCCGCTCCTCACAAGACCTCCTACTCTCTAGTTCCCTGGTCTCCTCCTCCCATGCCCATCTCCAGGACTTCTCCAGGGCTTCCCCATCCTCTGGAACTCCCTACCCCAATCCATCAGACTATCACCTACTCTCCTCACCTTTAGGCACACTCTGAAAACCTATCTCTTCAGGGAAGCCTACCCTGCCCTCAGCTAATTACTGAACTCCTCCACTCTTCCTACCACTCCATGCCTCACAGCTATTTCCTCCTGTACCACTATCCCCTCCCTCCTAGATTGTAAGCTCCAAGGAGCAGGGCCCTTGAATCCCTTGTGTATTGAATCGTATTGTTACTGTACTGTCTCGTGTACTCTCTCCCATTATAATGTTATAATGTACAGAACTGCGTAAACTGTTGGCGCTATATAAATCCTGTATAATAATAATAATTGCTAAATGCTACTGAGAACCAATTACTTGGGAGCACAAAAAATACCCAAACATACCACGTTTGGATAATATCGCCACAGGCAATACTACATCAAGCTTCATCAGCAGAACAACGTAACAGAAGATTGCAATCTGGAAAGTGAAGTAAAACGAACAGAAAGCAGCAATGAGCTATTCTGGGTTCACCTTACATTTAGCCCATTTAAATTTTGACCAGCCTTTTTAGCAATCTGATTTACATGCTAACAAGAAAAGCCAGGTAAAATTGGTTCCTGTTTTATCAGGACACCACTATACTCCCCATTCACACCTGGTATTTTCCCATCGCTCAATGTTAGATAAAATTACAAGTTAAAGTGTGTATTCAGCCTGTCAGAACCATTCTTCATGGTATTTGCACATTGAAAAGCAGATGAGGAATCTAATTTGTTCTACTACTGCTAAATGGTGTTTATCAAGAGGTACACCTAGGTGTGTTGTGAGCTGACCCTAACAAAGTGATATGTGCTAAAAGCTGGCAGTTATTAGACTATAAATACAGTGAGCCGCTTTATCTGTGACACCACTTCAGAGGCGTGCTGCTGAAAAGGTCTGCTGCCACCAGACTGCCACTGTGTTCTTAGTTCATCCCAATTAGAAGACAAAGCCTTTACAGAACTGTACAAAATCAATTCTAGCGGAATAAATTCTCTCCTCCACGCAGGTGTCAGAGCGTCACACAGCTTCATTTTATTCGGAAACATCTGGTAAAATTTAAATAATGTCAGTGGAATGGAAACTCGAAGCAGGACAATAGCCACCTGCTTTGAAAATAAACGGTCTTTTTCTTGCAGCAGTTTTTAATTCCCTTTTAAAGCCCAGGTTTTATAACTCAGCATGGGGCATTTCTCCCTGCCATAATCTTCCATTTTCAATAACCAATTTGTTCTTTCTGCTTGAATAATAGAATGTGTATTTAAAGGATAATGCTAGCAAAACTGGTGCAAAGCTATTTCGAGGAAACGTGAAAACAAGGCAAATGATTGTGAATATGACGTTCATATTCTGATGAAAGCTCTTTACAAGATATATTTTTTTTTCCTAATATGATTTGACTTCATTAACTTCTGAGCCTGAGATGACTTGCTGAAATGCTTTTACAGTTCTTTAGATTGTCATAATTGGGGAGTTAAGTGCACTTCACAGAGCTGATTAACAAATTCATTATGAGAAATTACTGTGCTAGAGACAAAAGGGTGATGAAAACTATTAGGAGACTACAAAATTCCTGTTCTCCGCTGTGACATGGTGCTCGCATTCTGGTGGATCTGAGGTTCATCTCAGCTTTTCGTATGTGCAGTAACCCATAGCAATCAAGTACCATTTTCTTTTAACCACTTCTTGTAGGCAGACTAATGTAAAATACTTTCTGTATGGTTTATCTGTTTCATTGAACTGTGCACATCACTTTTGTTTAATAATCTTTTGAAGATTTAATGCCTAAAACACACTGTGCAGCAAGCGTATTCACCTCCGTTTGCCTGCTGCTTCTTCCCTGCCAACATCACTGACGTCTACCTTGAGCACAGCTAGTTCTGCAAAGTACTTGTGGTACGTTCATGAAACATATCCCCTACAGCTCATGCAACATCCAAGATGTATTCCTTAGACATCTGCTTTCAGTATAGAAATCAGTAATAAATAGTATGCAAGAGTGGAAACTAACAGACAGATATCTCGCTGAGAATGGCCAGAGGGTGCACATCTCCTGACGTTGACTGACTCATTTCAGCATCCAGATTTGCTGTGATACTTGCCTGGTGTCCAGCTGAACATTTGATCTTGTCACTCTCCTCCATAGAAGGAGAAAAAGATCAGCTCTGCTTTTAGAGAAGAATGGTCTCCAACTATCTGTGGCACTTGTTGTTCTTCTTTTCAAGATAATTTCTTGCTATAATCCTATTTTAGGGTCGCTTACATACACCGATCAGCCAAAACTTTGACCACTGAGGAGTAAATAAGTAACATTATTAGCTTGTCACAATGTTATGAAAGTCGGTGCATATATAAAGACAGCAAGCAAAGATGCTGTCCCTGAAGTTAATGTGTTGAAAGTAGAAAATCTGGGCCTCTCAGTTTGTTGTGTATGAGGCCGCTTAGACACAGACAGGTCTGGGTGCCCATGCTGACATGTCCACAGCCAAAGACACTTACAATGGGCATGTGAGCATCAGAACTGGACCATGGAGCAATGGGTAAAGGTGGCCTGGTCTGCTGAATCATGTTTTCTTTTACATCATGTCTACTGTGGAAGGCATGTGACTTTCTTACCTGGGAAGAAATGGCACCAAGATGCAGTATGGATAGAAGTCAAGCCAGGGGAGAGAGTGTGATGCTTTGGGCAATGTTCTGCGGAGAAACCTTGGGTCCTGCCATTTATGTGGATTTATCTTGACATTTTCATGGAAATGGTGTTCCATGATGGCAGTGGCCTCTTTCAGCAGGATAATGCAACCTACCACACTGAACAAATGGTTCAAGAATGGTTTGAGGAATACAACACCGAAATCAGGATGTTGACTTGGCCTCTAGATTCTCCAGATCTCAGTTCAGTCGAGCATGTGTAGGTTGTGCTGGAAAAAACAGTCTGATCCATGGCGGTCCCACCTTACATGATTTAAAGGATCTACTACTGACAGCGTGGTGCCAGATACCAAAGCATATCTTCAGAGGTCTAGTGGCGTCCGTGCCTCGACAGGTCAGGGCTGTTTTAGCAGCAAAAAGGGGGACCCACTCAATGGTAGGTGGGTGGTCATAATGTTATGCCATCGGTGTATATGGGTCAATAATCTAAGTAATTATGGAAGAGGGGGTGGGAAGAAGAATGAAATGTTTAAGGGCTTTGTTTTCTAATTTCCTCCCAATTAAACTAGATATTATATTCTATTTCATAACCTCATTCGAATATGTATACAAAACAGCTCATGTATTTACTTTTTAATAGGTTTTTGATTTAGCAACTGGCAAATTTCTTAAGCACCTTCAAGGTCACAGGAAGACTGTACAGCACTGTCAGTTCACATCAGATGGCAAAAGACTTATTTCAAGCTCAGACGATTCCTCTATTAGGGTGAGTTTTGTCAGTACTCATGGGTACTTTTGAATCCTGAAAGTGTTGGTGCTGCCCATAATAACCAATCAGATGTTTGCTGTCATTTTTAGAACAGGTTTGAGGATAAAAGGAAGGAACAGACTGTGGTAAACGGCTTCACTTTCCTTCTTTTTTCATAAAAGGTCTTCTTTATAAACATGCACTCAGACAGCTGTCTTTGCTTCTGTGGACAGATCAACAGCTTTCTTGTCTTGCTGATGTACATGTGATACATGGCCAAAAGTATATGGACACCTTTCCAAGTTATTAGGTTTTTGCATTGCCAGGGTGTCGTACTGTTCGTGCTTCAGCAATAAGAGAAATCTTAGCCAAGTCTTCCCTTTCAGCTATGTGAGAGCAGTATAGGGAAGGCCCTTTTCTGTTTCAGTGTGACTGTGCCCCTGTGAACAAACCAGGTCCATAATGACATGGTTTGATTCGTTTTGTGTGGAGGAATTCAAGTGTCCTGTAGGGAGCCCTGATTTCATGCCTGTTGAACACCTTTGAGAAGAATTGGAACACTGCCTGCAAGCCAGTCTTATTACCAAGCATCATTACCTGACCTTACAAATGTTCTTTTGATTAATTGAGCACACATCCATGGGCACACTCCAAAATCATGTGGTAAGCCTTCCAAAAAGAGTGAAGCTGTATTGATGGAAGGGACGATTATAGATTATTGTCCAAAAACTCATTTAAGTGTGATAGAGCCCTTTCCCCCATACACCTAAATATCTATTGTATGATGATATGGCTTACTATGGCACAGACCTTACTGTTGCTTTGTGTATTATGTCAACATAAATGAAACCTTTATTACTCATTTGCTGTGTGTTCCCTTCTTGAATTTAAACATGTTGTCTAAATGGAAAGACTATCACATTTTGCAATATTCCTTAGATTGTTTTTAGAATGGGATATGCTTTTCTACAATAATGGTTTTGATTTTTTGTATTTTTGCCCTTATGAAAACATACATTCAATGCTGAAAACACCACATATATATAGTACATATGTTCCCTTTTATTGCTTTTTCTCTTCATGTACAGCTTTACACAGTGAACAGTTTAAAAAGGAATACTTTCCTGTGGATGTTTTGGTATTCGATCCATGCATGTAGTAATCTGTTGTTTTTTAGGTCTGGGACTGGATGGTTGATCGTAGCATTTTATTACAAGGGCACAAAGAAGCTGTGAAATGTTTTAGAATTTTGCAAGATTCCAAACTTTTGTCCTGGTCATTTGATGGGACAGTGAGGGTAAGGAAACCATTTTATTGTTATTAAAAGTTACGTTTCATCCACTCAGCAGTGATATTACAGTTTTACCCCATTCATTATCCCAGTTAATAATTCTCCACAACTATTTTCCAGGTCTGCCCACCCACTGCAGCCATCACAAGAAGTCCCATTCTTGCTGATGGCATAATATTTTGCAGGGATTTTATCAAACACTTTCTAGCAGATTCTGTTTGTTTCACTATGCCCTTTCAGACTGATTCTGAATGGGAGAGTCTGGTTCATTGTAATCAGCTGGTGCTGTCAGTATTCTAAAGGGATGCAGGCTCTACAGCTTTCCTCATTAGAAGTAATTAACCCTTGGGGATTATCTAACCAAAACTGAAAATCTTTGCAAGGGATGCCTAAAACCTGACTTGTATCTTAGTGCACATTTCTGGAAAACTTAGTGAGCCAATCACACAAGCAGGAAATTACATTTTATAGGGGTGTTGTACACCAACATTGCCATATTGCATTTAATTTTACAGAAAGTTACAGTGGCTGCAGATTGAAAAGATAAGGTACTTTTTAGTAACATAAAGTTACAGCATGGCTTCTGCATGGCTTGTATAACAGTTGTATATGCTGTATAGTTTTTTTTATTTGCTATCTTTTTTTTTTCTCCCCAACAAAAGCGAGGTTACCCTTTGTATGATTTGATTAACTGGGGTATAGACCATACCAGTCCTCTTCAGAAAATATTTTTACGCTTCTGTAATTCAGAAACTGCATCTTATTTACATGTATATTGTGGAAAATTACACAAAGAACTGGAACATTTGATCTCTGGATGCTGGGGGGAGAGGGGGGTGAAATGCAGTTTAAATATACATTCCTGAGGCTTGTTCTGGTCCTGGCACTCACTGTTTCCTGAGCCTGCTTCTTAGACTTCTACACCCAGTATACTCCAAAGCAGAACTGAGGAACTGGAAACTTATAGCTTTACACTCTTCTCCCCCAAGATACAAAGAACCTTTCCAGAGGCCTTCCTCTTCCAAATTATACTCCAGCAAAGCGCCCTGTCTGTTTAAAGGGTTATGTATGGTAGACTCATGAACAGGGATGGTTGCCAGTTTCAGTGATGTCTTCATGCCTTTAGCTGTTACACATGGGTTCTCCTTTATGTCATTGAGGAGTCTGCTTTGTGTCTTGGGAGTAATCTTGACTGGTCGCCCACTTCTAGGGAGAGTAGCCACAGTACTAAACTGTCTCTATTTATAAACAATTTGTTTAACTGTCGATTGATGGATGCCTAAATACTTTAAGATATGCTTTGTATCCCTTATGCAGGTCAACTATTGATAATATTTCTTCAGCGAGCTCCTTTTTGCAAAGCATGGTTCACATCAGCTGATTCTTCTTGTGAACAGCAGCCTTAAAATGTTTGAGTGTCTTTTATCAATCAAAGTAGCTGTAAACTACACTTCCAAACTAATTTCAATAATTGGACTGGGTGTGCAAATGACTGTCTGCAATTGTGCAAATTACTGACTTCGTTAACTTTCGTTGAAGTAATTAGTCTATAGGTTCGCATACTTTTTCCTACAGCACTGTGAATGTTTAAGGGATGTGTTCAATAAAGACGCAAGAAATTAGAATGGTTTGTGTGTTATCATCTTAAGCACATTGCATGTGTCTATTGTTGTGACTTATGCAGGCCATAGACGGGTCGTTTATCGGCTGAATTTCCGTCCACACGGAAAATTGGCTGATATTCACGCCGTTAGTGGGGCAATGCCGTCGGCCGTTTTTTGTGGATCTTCTCGTTTCTTTTTATTGGTCGTGCTGGAAAATCCACAAAAAACGGCCGTTTTTTCATAGACATTGGTGGCGGCAACGGCAACAACCCGATTTTTCGTTTATCGGCCGACAATTTGGCCGATAAACGGCCCGTCTATGGCCTGCATTAGATGGGGATCAGATCACATTTTATGACAAATTACTACAGAAAACCAGATAATTCCAAGGGATTCACATATTTTTTTTTCCACTGTATATGAGTACAATGGTGCACAGCTATTCATGTCAATGACAGGCTGTACTTTGCACCTGGGATGCCTGGGTGGAGGAAATAAGGCTGAAATTACACTGAACAGGCTCAGCCAGACCGTGTGCAAGAGCCCTATTGAACAGCTTTAACATCTTCTGCCTTAGGCCTCTTTCAGACGGAAAAACAGGCGCTGACAGCAGGAAGATTCAGCATATTGCTGCAGCTGGGTTGACAGGTGTGTGCAGACATCTGCAGCTGGGAAGCCTGTTCAAAACAATGACAGGCTAACAGGAGCCACTGCTGTCCATCAATCTTCACATGTATCCACACACCGAGGGGTTACCTGAGGTTAGGGACAGATATTCAACCCTGGACACACACAGATGCAGCGACTAAAGTTGTCTGTATCTGCAGGTAACTGCAGCATGTGTGGATTCATACAAACAGTAGCTGCTCCTGTCAGCCTGTCATGGATTTGTACAGGCTGAGTGGCTGTAGCTGTTCCCACACACCTGTAAGCCCAGCCACCACAGTACACTTCCTTCTTTCACTTTTGGTGCCTGTTCGTCTTTTTAAATGGGACCTTAACCTCTTCTTCTTTTTTTTTTTTTTTTTTATATAAGTCAAAGTATTTAGAACTCCTCCCAGATCTTATTTCTGACTTAATCTCTCTTGGGGAGATTGTCCTCAATTCCTGGCCTGGAGATAGTGGTCACCCAGACAATATGCAGTGGGAAATCTCTCCAAGACCAAGTAAAACCTGAAAAAGGTCCCTAAATTTAAAGATAAAATACAAATTTTGATTGGATTTTCTATTTACTGTTGCACCTACGTTTACATAAATGGAATTGTGTTTAAAGCTTTGGTGTGTTAAATCCAGATTTTTTTCCCAGTTTGAGTATAGTAATCTTTCTTTCAGATACGGGACCTTAGTAATGAAACTAAAGAGGAAGAATTCCTTTGTCACACTGGTGCTGTTTTGTCTTGTGATGTTTCACCTGACTACTCAAAGTTTTCATCCACTTCCGCCGACAAAAGTGCCAAGGTACAGTAAAGACAGAGTACAAAACTAAGAAATGGAATATAAAAAAAAAGGAGCAGGAAACCGTGTAGTAGATGCATGCACTTTACAGGATTACAGAGGGTCACAGAATAGTACTCAGGACCAGTGTTTAGTCCTGGGAGTCATTTAACAGTACCAAGGAAAAAGACCTAGAGCAGTAAATTGGTCTCTGGAAGCAAGAGGAGAATACTATATCAGGCATCTCCCTCTAGTCTTCTGAGATAGTTCTCGTCTCAGTGTTCGTGGGCTGCCTGCCACTATGAGAATCAACATAGAATCTCTGTGTGTGCACTTTCCCAGTATTCGTATTAGGAGGAGTGGCCAGGGCCTTCCATTGGAGAATGATTGGAGAAAGTGTATTCAGAGTTCTGAAATTTTAATATTGGTTCTTTGGAAGAAGTCACAGGAAGTGACAAAACACGTTGAGTGGAAGCTAAGTGGACATCATCATGCCACCATGAAAGAGCTACCTGGATACAAGAGTTTGGTAATGCTGTGGTCTTACCCTTAAGGGGACAGGTACCTGTATATGCAACTATTCCTTTTTAAGGTGGTGCACTACTGAGGATTTGTGCACTTACATTGTGAGTGTATTGTAGTAGGTTTTAATAAATATGTAATGGTATTTTATGCGGTAAAACAGTATATGCAGTTTCTATTCCCTTTGAGTGACATTGATGGTGGAGAGATAACTTTGCTAATTTGACAACATTGGTAGCCTTGGAGGAGGAATCTGGAGGAAGTGTTTGGTAACTGTAAGTAGCCATTAGGACCCCTTAAAGGGGAAAAACTCATAGTGACCTTCTCTAGGTCTAGGAGTTAGGTGAGCGCACAGTGACTGGTGGTGTTTACACTGATGAGGGATCACATTTGTGAATGTAGGAGCATTTTGTATACCTAATCAAGGCATCGTTTGGTATTTTTGAATTGTGTATTCCATTTGCAGTATTACAGTGCTAGTGGAATCCTCTCACTTATCTAGTGCACTTTTGATTTAAATTCTTTTTGTTTGCAGATTAAATATGTTTGAGTTTATATGCATACTGTATATTATGGCAAGTTAATGTTATCACGATTGAAATATTCCCCACATTTTGTTTATTATTGCGGTATTAAGGATTTAATGTAGCGCAGCACTTTATAAGTTACTGAAATTGTCACATAACCTCACCTAATTGCACCCTGACTTTGCACAGTGCACACAGAGCCCAGGTGTTTATAGAGTTATGTAGCCAGGAGTGCCATTGAATAGGTTGTGTCTAGGTGAGACTTTGAGGCTGTGATTCTCTTTTTGCTTCTCTGATGCAGTGACATGTTTTGCGGCACCAAGGATAAGCAACTGTTCTCTTTGTTCAAAGCCTTTTTAGTTTTGATTGTGTTAAAAAAAATAAGGGATAACAAGGCAAGCTCAGCTGTAATAAGTATTCATTTTCTGTATGTGCTGTATCCACTAGGGGGAGCATAATATCAAACAGCCAGATGACAGCACAGTTTGCCTGCATTAGCTCGGCTGTTAATAATCTCTATACAGTAATGCACCACATAAGGTAAAGTGAGTAAAATTAAAAAAAAAAAAAGTGATTGGTTAGTGGCAGCATTAAATATTGAAGTTTAGAATTCACCTAGGATTGCAGGTTTCCCACTACTTGTATATTACATAATTTTATTTATTTGTGTAAATTTTATTTTTACATGTGAACTGTGGTAGAAAGAAACACTATAGAAAGGATGTAAACAAATCAGCTCAGTATTAACTACGAATGCCCCTTGGTTCTTAACCTTTCTTGGGTTAAGACCATGCAGAGTGCACTAATTTATATCAATTAACCTAGTTTTCATCATCTGATTTAGTAACCTGTGCGTTACTGCACTGTGCTCTTACAAAAATATCAGTTTGATGTTACATATGACATGAACATATTTCTGGGTACTGGACCAGCCATCAGATGACCCTAATCAGCAATGTGTCCCAAAGTGTTATAATGTCCAAGCAGTACAGTTACAGCCTGCTTAAAGAAATAAAAGGTAGAATCTGCTAAATTGCTTTAGGATGACCTAGGCAGTTCTTATGCATTGATAAATGAGGCCCAGTGTGTACTGATGATGTACTTGTTGATATACTGAAAAAACAAAGATGAAATAAAATTGTAACCGTAAAGTTGACTCTTTTGTCTCAGATTTGGAGTTTTGTTGGATCAACTCTCCTGCATGAGCTGACAGGTCACCAGAGCTGTGTGCGCTGCTCCAACTTTTCTTCAGACAACAACCATCTAGCCACTGGCGATGACAATGGAGAAATCATGGTATGTCTGAGCACTGGTATTTGTAAATTGTACTGCTAAAATGTTTCTGAATGAGATAGAAGTTTAAGGGTAGGCAAAAAAAAGTATTCTGCAAACAGTGCCTGGGTTCAAAATACATTGTAAGAACCTTGCGACTTATGACGAGTACCTTTTTTGTAAATGAGTAGAATATAATCATTTTTCTTCTGTTAGTCTGATGAGGGCACATCCAGATATAGTTGTTAAAATTATTAATATTTAGCAACATTTTTCAGTGTTAATATGGTCTTAGGCTCGGTTCGTATCTGTGCAGGTGGTGCCACTGCGGGACCCATACAAATACTGGCAGCCACAACCACCCGCACAGAGAAATGCGAGACCCATGGGCCAGTGCCATTAATCCTAATGGCACACCGCCCGCACTGGAAATCGTAACTCAAACCTCGGTTCCCGTGCAGGGTGTGATTTTACAGATAGTGCAGGGACTTCTTTTCTGCGTGTCCTGGGGCACAGCAACCCATTCAAATGAATGACCTCTCATGCCCATGCAAGGCCGCACAGGTGTGAACCTAGCCTTAAAATCAGTTGGGAACACTCATACTCTCTGCTGATTGCAGCAAAGTAGGCAGGGGGCAGTTCAGACCACTATTTGGAAATTATTGCTTTTACACAGAGCACGCAGTAGCTAAAACTTCCTGAAGAGCATAGGAGTTTGGTGCTGGGACTAGTTCAGCATTACAAAATATTGCGAACAGATTACTATTTTGAGGCAACCTGTCTTCATTCGTTTAATTTGTGTATAAACTACAATTAGACTTTAAGTCAAATTTTGGTATAGCATGAGTTTGCCTTATCAAAATTATCAAGTCCCGTTGGGCCCTAAAATAATAAAGTCTTCATTCAAATTCAAATTGAAATTGCAGATGTCCGGATACTTGACATTTCTTAAACTCTTTACAGTAGTTTTAATTTAGGCACACTATGCATGAAAAGGTCCATGTTTTATTCTCTTTACAACTGCCTTCTCTTTTTTTGCTACATGTTTAATTTCACCTATTTACTACTTATCTTGCAATTCAGTGGTTACTTTTTAAGCATACAGAATAAAACCAGTTACTCATGTGGACTGCATGGTCACTATGCTTGAGGAGTCCACAAAAAAATGCTTATTTTTTTTTTTTGTCCTCTATTTGGTAGATTTGGAAAGTGGACAGTGGGGAGCTGCTCAGACAGTGTCATGTGAATAAAGGTGATGACTGGGTGAAGGATATACATTTCTCTCCTGACAATAAACTAATAGTATCCTGTGGAGCTTATGTCAAAGTAAGTTATAATATATTTGCATTTTTCAGGTTCTTTAGAATTTTAATAAAAATAAACCCATTTTCTAGAAAAAACAAGACATATTGGGAGCTCTATTTTATTCCAAAACTGCCCTTTCCTCTTGTGATTTCCGAGACCTGAAGTCCTACTGGACAAGTTAACTTTTCCAGTGTTTTGTTGAATGGATGGTTCCAGAAAATTTCTAGGCTTAAATATTGTATAGTTGAAACACATAAACAACACTACTAATGTTATTCGTTTCAGAAATACTATTTTCCTTGGTACATGTTAGCACCCACCTATGTCCAGTTTAGAGGGAAGGTACAGTATATTTTTAGTTAGCATCACTTAAGAGTAGAGTTATAGTTTTGTTGGAAGAAGCACTACAGTACAGTTGATACAGGTTTATCAGCAAGCCTAGACAGGATAGAATTAAACATATTGTATATAATTATGCTTAGTGCAATAATATTTAGGATCACCTTGAAGTAATAAACCACATGAACCCTTACAGATAATAACAGTTAACCTACCCCTTACACTTAAGCTAAAGCAGAGTTCAAGGCACATGAGTCAAGGGCGCCAGCGAACGCAGTTATGCAAGTGCATTTTAAATACAAAAAGTATAAGTACTTGAATTTGTCTTGTGGCTTCCCACAATCTTCTGTGCTTCTAGACTCACACAGGGAAAGGATGGGCCATCACTAGTAGCCAGGCTTTGTTACAGTACTGACACTGAAAACATGGTTACTAGAGGAGAGCACAGTTATGACATCAGTTTGATCCTGGTTCTTCATTGTTCACTCAGCGGCTGGAGGGTGTTCATGAAGACTAGGTTGTGCTGCTGTAGTGGAGGTCAAAGATTTGGCCATAATGTCTGGCTGGGGTGCCTGGATCACAAAACTTTCTGCATAGAAAAAAAATCCTTTCAGAGGTAAATGAGGACAGAAATACGTATCTTTTTTTTTTTTTAAGAGTACTTTGTATTGAACATGTTTTAATTGCACAAAACAAAACTTACGCAGTTATCCACAAATGTTTAAGAACAGATTGTCCTAGGTTGCGCATTATAGACAAATAGCAGATTTCATAATATTACATAGTATATGTCTAAATATACAGTCAGGTCCATAAATATTGGGACATCAACACAATTCTAACATTTTTGGCTCTATACACCACCGCAATGGATTTGAAATGAAACGAACAAGATGTGCTTTAACTGCAGACTGTCAGCTTTAATTTGAGGGTATTTACATCCAAATCAGGTGAACGGTGTAGGAATTACAACAGTTTGCATATGTGCCTCCCACTTGTTAAGGGACCAAAAGTAATGGGACAATTTAAGTGACAATTTTGTGTAAAAGAAAAAATAAATAATATATATAATATATATATATATATATATATATATATATATATATATATATATATATATATATATATATATATATATATATAATTTTTTTTTTTTTTTTCCGTCATTTTCCAAAAACCTGTGGTAAAAACATTAATTCTTCTATTGACTCAACATGCCTCTCAGCAAATAGTTTGGGGTGTCTACTTTACAAAAAGGGGTAATTTTGGGAGGTGGGGGCATTTTATGCCCAGCATTAAATGTTTATGCCACACATCACTCACTTTTCTGACCACCTGAAGACCAAGCCTTTTCTGACACTTTTTGTTCACATGATAAAAATCAGTATTTTTTGCTAGGAAATTACTTTGAACCCCCAAACATTATATATTTTTTTTAAAGCAGACATCCTAGTGAATAAAATGGTGGGTGCAATTTTTTATGTCACATAGTACTCGTGCAGAGATTTTTCAGACGCTAATATTTTTACAAAAATATATTTTTTTACTTTTAATGCGCAAAAACACAATATGTTGGCCAATTATTTGGTAAAATATATAAAAGATGATGCCCAGCCCCTGTAGAAATACGTTGGCAGGGCGGCACGGCTGGGCAAAACCACGTTTTAAAACGTGTGTTTGCAAAACAGGTAGGAGGCACGCACGAGGTGCACCACCGCCCTACCTGTCCCGATCACGGCCGCAGATGTCAGTTGCCGGGTCACAGCCAGTCGTTACCGGCTGTGTCCCGCCGATTAGCAGCAATCACTGACAGAGAGCAGGGCTGCAGTAGCTCTGCTTTCTGTCAGTTCCCTGTCAGCTCCTGACATGCTGAGCCGGAGAGAAGAGTTTATCTCTCCCGATCAGCTGTCCCGTGCAGTACACACCCCCGCCCCCTAGTAAAAACACTCCCCTCACACAGTTAACCCTTTCAGTAAATAAAGTTAACCCCTTCCTCCCCAGTGCCATTAGTACAGTGTCAGGTGTTTTGTTTTTTTTTTTGCACCGATCACTGTATTGGTGTCACTGGGGATGTCAGTGACCCCAAGTCAGTTCCCCCCCAGTGTCAGAATGTCCGCCGCAGTCCCGCCATAAGTCACTGATCGCTGCCATTATTAGTATAAAAAAAAAATCAAAAATCCCAGTATCTTTATTGCCATTTTGTAAACGCTATAACTTTCACGTAAACCAATTAATTTATACGTATCGGGTTTTTTTGTTAGCAAAGACATGGCGCAGAATACATTTTATGCCGAAATTTGATTTTTAAATTTTTTTACTGGACATGTTTTATAGCAAAAAGTCCAAAATATTGTTTTTTTTTTTCCTCACAATTGTCAGCCTTTTTTTTTTTTTTGATAGCGCAAAAAATAAAAAACGCACAGGCTATCAAATACCACCAAAAGAAAGCTCTATTTGTGTGAAAAAAGGTCATAAATTTCATTTATGTACCATATTGTATGACCGCACAATTGTCCGTTAAACTTGCGCAGCGCTGTATAGCGAAAATAATGGCGTAAAATGCAGTATCTATACCATAGTTTGTAGACGCTATAACTTTCACACAAAGCAATCAATATACACTTATTGGGATTTTTTTTTACCAAAAACATGTAGCAGAATACATTTTGGCCTAAATTTATAACTAACTTTGAGTTTACTTTATATTTTTTATAGCTGAAAGTAAAAAAAAATCGTTTTTGTTCAAAATTTTTTTTTTTTTTTTTTTGTCTATAGCGTGAAAAATAAAAAACGCACAGGTGATCAAATACCACCGAAAGAAAGCTCTATTTGTGTGAAAAAAGGACATAAATTTTGTTTGGGTGCAGCATTGCATGACCGCACAATTATCAGTTGCATTAGTGCAGCGCCGAGTAGCAGAAAGAGGCCTGGTCATTAAGGGGGGTAAATCCTCAGGAGGGCAACTGGTTAAAACTGCACATGCCCCATGCAATGGCAACAAACTGCATATATTTTTAATATCCATAGGCAATGCTTTAAAAGCCTTTACAAGATACCATTTTAGATTTACAAAGGAGGTCTAGTGTGAGAATTACTGATCTGACGTACCTCATATGCATGGTGCAACCGCTGTTAACATACTGGCATAGGGTCAACGCTTCTTTTTAAAGTTAATTTGATTTTTTAAATTATTTTTACTCTGTCCCTTTCATTTTTTATTTTTTTATCACTTTTAATGCTATAACAGGGAATGCAAATATCCCCTATAACTTCAATGGGCATTGTCATATATTCTTTTTTGAGAAATCTTTTAGACTCTAGATATCTCTTCTGCCCTTACATTATCTAATCTCAGCAAGATCTCTGTAATCATATGTTTTCCCAATTTACAAATGGCGCTGTTTATATCCTGTGAAACTGAAGTGATGATATGCTCGTAGCTTCCGATTTCTTAGACTATAGAGATGATTGGCACCATTCCGGGCTCCAATCAGCTCTATGGTAAGCTGGCAGAAACACTGGCTGCATTCTCAGATTCCCCCAATGGAACGAGAATGCCCAAGAAGGCCATGGAAGGCAGTGGGGGATGGGGGGCATCTTTTTCCCCTGCTTGTAAAAGTAATCCTGCAGCTATTTAGCCACTAGGATTGCTTTTACATGAAAGCCGATTGCTGGCTGAAAACAAATTATACCAGGATGATGCCTGCAGCTGCAGGCATCATCCTGGTATAACCACTCAAAGTCCAGTGATGTACCAGTACGTCGCTTGTCCTTGTTGGGTGTATATACTATGTTCTTTTTTTTTTTTTTTTATGCAGCCTGCTGGCTGAATGAAAAAAAGAGAAGAAATCTCTGCCAGTCCACCCCTTCCATGTTAAGGTTATAGTCGTGGACACAGAGGGGTTTCTCAACAATGCCAGATACTATGTTAATTTGGACTGTCGCATCTGTGTGAGTGGAAGACAGGACGAAAACATCCCATTTGTCCTTCCACTTCACTGTGAGCAATTCATTATTCCTCAAGCAGGCTGTCTCCCTCTTTCTAAGTCAAGCCATTGGGGGAAGCCCCGGCAATTAGGTCGCACGGTGCCACATGAGCCAATTCCAAGATTGTATAAATGTCTAAATAGTGGCACGCTTGTATACAAATTGTCCACGTATAAGTGGTACCCCTTATGGAACATACACGACATCAAGTCCCAAACTATCTTGCCACTGCTCCCCATGTAGTCTGGGCAGTTGGGGGGCTCTACTTCGCTTTCTCTTCCCTCAAACCCTAAATTTGTACGTATAGCCTGTGGCCCTCTCACAGAGCTTATACAATTTGACCCCATATCTAGCATGCTTGCTGGGGATGTACTGTTTGAATGAAAGGCGGCCAGTAAAGTGAATGAGGGACTCATCCACACAGATGTTTTGCTGGGGCGTATACACATCTGCAAATTTCTCAGGTGGTTTATGAGGGGCCAAATTTTGTAGAGCCTGTCATGTTCAGGGTTACCCCGAGGATGACAGTGTGTTATCACTGAAATGCATGAAGCGCAATATCGTCTCATATCTATGCCTGGTCATGGCAACAGAGAACATATGATGAATTAGGTCTGTGGACCAATACAATCGCAACTCATTCTTTTTTGTAATACTTATGTTGAGGGTTAGGCCCCAAAAAGTTTTACATTCGG